AATAAATGTGACAGTGACTACAAATACAAAGTTGCATAATACATCATGCAGTACGTGCTACACAGACCGATGTATTGGAATTATATTTTAGTCCATTTTATGTTCATTCAGGTGAGTTTTATGTAGCTATTTGTACGTTACTGTCTGTCATTTTTGAGTCAATATATTTCATGATGTGTAACGTGCGCAATGATGTGCCAAATCTTGATTTAGTGCATTATTTTAGGGTAAGCATTAGATTAAGCCGCATCAATATTTATAGCCATACGGTGCATTCAGAAAGTATTCAGACCCCTTGACTTTTTCCACATTTTGTTACGTTACAGCCTTATTCTAAAATGTATCTTTTTTTCCTCATCAATCTACACACAATAGCCCATAATGACAAAGCGAAAACAGGTTTTAAGAAAGTTTAGCAAGTGTATTAAAAATAAAACATTGAAATACCTTATTTACATAAGTATTCAGACCCTTTGCTATGAGACTCGAAATTGAGCTCAGGTGCATCCTGTTTCCATTGATCATCCTTGAGTCCACCTGTGGTAAATTCAATTGATTGGACAAGTCTCCCGAGTGGCGCAGTGGTCTAAGGCACTGCATCGCAGTGCTAGCTGTGCCACTAGAGATCCTGGTTTGAATCCAGGCTCTGTCGTAGCCGGCCGCGACCGGGAGACCCATGGGGCGGCGCACAATTGGCCCAGCGTCGTCCAGGGTAGGGGAGGGAATGGCCGGCAGGGATGTAGCTCAGTTGATAGAGCATGGCGTTTGCAACGCCAGGGTTGTGGGTTCGATTCCCACAGGGGGTATGAAAAAAAAATAATGTATGCACTAACTGTAAGTCGCTAAATGACTAAAAGGTAAATGTAAAATGTAATGATTTGGAAAGGCACACACCTGTCTATATAAGGTCCCACAGTTGACAGTGCATGTCAGAGCAAAAACATTTGACATTTTAGTCATTTAGCAGACGCTCTTATCCAGAGCGACTTACAGTTAGTGAGTGCATACATTTTTTTTTCATACTGGCCCCCCATGGGAAACGAACCCACAACCCTGGCGTTGCAAGCGCCATGCTCTACCAACTGAGCTACACGGGACCAAGGCATAAGGTCGAAGGAATTGTCCGCAGAGCTCCGAGACAGGATTGTGTCGAGGTACAGATCTGGGGAAGGGTACCAAAAAATGTGTGCAGTATTGAAGGTCCCCAAGAACACGGTGGCCTCCATCATTCTTAAATGCAAGAAGTTTGGAACCACCAAGACTCTTCCTAGAGCTGGCCGCCCGGCCAAACTGAGCAATCGGGGGAGAAGGGCCTTGGTCAGGGAGGGGACCAAGAACCCGATGGTCACTCTGACAGAGCTCCAGAGTTCCTCTGTGGAGATGGGAGAACCTTCCAGAAGGACAACCATCTCTGCAGCACTCCACCAATCAGGCCTTTATGGTAGTGTGGCCAGACGGAAGCCACTCCTCAGTAAAATGCACATGACAGCCCGCTTGGAGTTTGCCAAAAGGCACCTAAAGGACTCTCAGACCATGAGAAACAAGATTCTCTGGTCTGATGAAACCAAGATTGAACTATTTGGCCTGAATGCCAAGCATCACGTCTGGAGGAAACCTGGCACCATCCCTACGGTGAAGCATGGTGGTGGCAGCATCATGCTGTGGGGATGTTTTTCAGCGGCAGGGACTGGGAGACTAGTCAGGATCGAGGGAAAGATCAACGGAGCAAAGTACAGAGAGATCCTTGATGAAAACCTGCTCCAGAGCGCTAAGGACCTCAGACTGGGGCAAAGGTTCACCTTCCAACAGGACAACGACCCTAAGCACACAGCCAAGACAACACAGCTGTGCAGCGACACTCCCCATCCAACCTGACAGATCTGCAGAGTAGAATGGGAGAAACTCCCAAAATACAGGTGTGCCAAGCTTGTAGCGTCATACCCAAGAAGACTCGAGGCTGTAATCGCTGCCAAAGGTGCTTCAACAAAGTACTGAATAAAGGGTCTGAATACTTATGTAAATGTGATATTTCAACTTTTTTGTATTTATTAATTTACCCCCCAAAAATGAACCTGTTTTTGCTTTGTCATTATGGGGTATTGTGTGTAGATTGATGAGGGAAAAAAACAATTCAATCAATTTTAGAATAAGGCTGTAACGTAACAAAATGTGGAAAAAGTCAAGAGGTCTGAATACTTTCCGAAGGCGCTGCAGGTGGTAATATATCAATAGGAGCTGATCCGTCGTCAGTATTGTGGAATAATTCTAATGTTAAGGTCAGATTGGAAAGGGAGAACGCTGATCCGAGAGCAGTGCTTACTTTCTTTCGATCCTATCAGTATCGACACATGCCTCACCGACGCACTTAGTGACCGTTCTCTCTGTGTGGTGTTTTGGGAAACATGTTACATCTTCGTCTCTCTGTGTGGTGTTTTGGGAAACATGTTACATCTTCGTCTCTCTGTGTGGTGTTTTGGGAAACATGTTACATCTTCGTCTCTCTGTGTGGTGTTTTGGGAAACATGTTACATCTTCGTCTCTCTGCGTGGTGTTTTGGGAAACATGTTACATCTTCGTCTCTCTGCCTGGTGTTTTGGGAAAGATGTTACATCTTCGTCTCTCTGCGTGGTGTTTTGGGAAAGATGTTACATCTTCGGCCGTTGTAGGAAAGATGCATCGTTAAAACCCTTGTAAGTCTAAGTTCCATCGCTATCAGGAAACTGGGCCCTGGACAAGACAACAGGCATCACAACCACACATTACACTGTACCACTGTAACACTAACAGTCAGCATGTACCACTATAACACTAACAGTCAGCATGTTCCACTGTAACACTAACAGTCAGCATGTACCACTGTAACACTAACAGTCAGCATGTACCACTGTAACACTAACAGTCAGCATGTACCACTGTAACACTAACAGTCAGCATGTACCACTGTAACACTAACAGTCAGCATGTACCACTGTAACACTAACAGTCAGCATGTACCACTGTAACACTAACAGTCAGCATGTACCACTGTACACTAACAGTCAGCATGTACAACTGTAACACTAACAGTCAGCATGTACCACTGTAACACTAACAGTCAGCATGTACCACTGTAACACTAACAGTCAGCATGTACCACTATAACACTAACAGTCAGCATGTTCCACTGTAACACTAACAGTCAGCATGTACCACTATAACACTAACAGTCAGCATGTACAACTGTAACACTAACAGTCAGCATGTACCACTGTAAGACTAACAGTCAGCATGTACCACTGTACACTAACAGTCAGCATGTACCACTGTAACACTAACAGTCAGCATGTACCACTGTAACACTAACAGTCACCATGTACCACTGTAACACTAACAGTCAGCATGTACCACTGTAACACTAACAGTCACCATGTACCACTGTAACACTAACAGTCAGCATGTACCACTGTAACACTAACAGTCAGCATGTACCACTGTAACACTAACAGTCAGCATGTACCACTGTAACACTAACAGTCAGCATGTACCACTGTAACACTAACTGTCAGCATGTACCACTGTAACACTAACAGTCAGCATGTACCACTGTACACTAACAGTCAGCATGTACCACTGTACAGTAACAGTCAGCATGTAACACTATTAACCAGGGACCACCCTATGGTCTATATAGTGTTATACTATTAACCAGGGACCACCCTATGGTCTATATAGTGTTATACTATTACCAGGGACCACCCTATGGTCTATATAGTGTTATACTATTAACCAGGGACCACCCTATGGTCTATATAGTGTTATACTATTAACCAGGGACCACCCATATGGTCTATATAGTGTTATACTATTAACCAGGGACCACCCTATGGTCTATATAGTGTTACACTATTAACAGGGACCACCCTATGGTCTATATAGTGTTACACTATTAACCAGGGACCACCCTATGGTCCTATATAGTGTTATACTATTAACCAGGGACCACCCTATGGTCTATATAGTGTTATACTATTAACCAGGGACCACCCTATGGTCTATATAGTGTTATACTATTAACCAGGGACCACCCTATGGTCTATATAGTGTTATACTATTAACCAGGGACCACCCTATGGTCTATATAGTGTTATACTATTAACCAGGGACCACCCTATGGTCTATATAGTGTTATACTATTAACCAGGGACCACCCTATGGTCTATATAGTGTTATACTATTAACCAGGGGACCACCCTATGGTCTATATAGTGTTATACTATAACCAGGGACCACCCTATGGTCTATATAGTGTTATACTATTAACCAGGGACCACCCTATGGTCTATATAGTGTTACACTATTACCAGGGACCACCCTATGGTCTATATAGTGTTAACTATTAACCAGGGACCCACCCTATGTCTATATAGTGTTATACTATTAACCAGGGACCACCCTATGGTCTATATAGTGTTATACTATTAACCAGGACCACCCTAGGTCTATTAGTGTTACACTATTAACCAGGGACCACCCCTATGGTCTATATAGTTGTATACCATTAACCAGGGACCCACCCTATGGTCTATATAGTGTTACACTATTAACCAGGGACCACCCCTATGGTCTATATAGTGTTTACACTATTAACCAGGGACCACCCTATGGTCTATATAGTGTTATACTATTAACCAGGGACCACCCTATGGTCTATATAGTGTTATACTATTAACCAGGGACCACCCTATGGTCTATATAGTGTTATACTATTAACCAGGGACCACCCTATGGTCTATATAGTGTTACACTATTAACCAGGGACCACCGTATGGTCTATATAGTGTTACACTATTAACCAGGGACCACCCTATGGTCTATATAGTGTTATACTATTAACCAGGGACCACCGTATGGTCTATATAGTGTTATACTATTAACCAGGACCACCCTATGGTCTATATAGTGTCCTACGGGCCATTTGGGACATAATCTATAATCCTGCCTTTGCCTCTTCTCTCTATCAGGGCCTCTCCAGGGTCTCTCTGGTCCCTCCTCCAAAGCAGGGCCAGGCCCCCCCCCCCCTGACCCCTCTCTTACCCCTGGGATGGGGCGTGGTCTGGGGCCAGGAGGTCAAAGGTCAGAGATGCCTCGCCCCGCTCAGCAGGTGGTCTATGTCTTCACTACCAGCCTGGCCAACAGGTGAGACACACACTATGAACACGCACACTTATACACACACACCTCGTCTGGTAAGATAGGGGGCTCTTCACACAGAAATGCCGAGCAGAAAAGTGCGAATTGAACAAATCAAGTTTTTGTGGTCTGGTCTTGTCATGTTTATTCTGTACTAAAATGACTAAACAGCAGGTGAAGTAGTACCCCTAACCCAGGTGAAGTAGTACCCCTAACCCAGGTGAAGTAATACCCCTAACCCAGGTGATGTAATACCCCTAACCCAGGTGATGTAGTACCCCTAACCCAGGTGATGTAATACCCCTAACCCAGGTGAAGTAGTACCCCTAACCCAGGTGAAGTAGTACCCCTAACCCAGGTGATGTAGTACCCCTAACCCAGGTAAAGTAGTACCCCTAACCCAGGTGAAGTAGTACCCCTAACCCAGGTGAAGTAGTACCCCTAACCCAGGTGAAGTAGTACCCCTAACCCAGGTGAAGTAGTACCCCTAACCCAGGTGAAGTAGTACCCCTAACCCAGGTGATGTAATACCCCTAACCCAGGTGAAGTAGTACCCTTAACCCAGGTGAAGTAGTAAAACTAACCCAGGTGAAGTAGTACTCCTAACCCAGGTGAAGTAGTACCCCTAACCCAGGTGAAGTAGTACCCCTAACCCAGGTGAAGTAGTACCCCTAACCCAGGTGAAGTAGTACCCCTAACCCAGGTGAAGTAGTACCCCTAACCCAGGTGAAGTAGTACCCCTAACCCAGGTGAAGTAGTACCCCTAACCCAGGTGAAGTAATACCCCTAACCCAGGTGAAGTAATACCCCTAACCCAGGTGAAGTAGTACCCCTAACCCAGGTGAAGTAGTACCCCTAACCCAGGTGAAGTAGTACCCCTAACCCAGGTGAAGTAGTACCCCTAACCCAGGTGAAGTAGTACCCCTAACCCAGGTGAAGTAGTACCCCTAACCCAGGTGAAGTATACCCCTAACCCAGGTGAAGTATAGTACCCCTAACCCGGTGAGTAGTAACTAACCCAGGTGAAGTAGTACCCCTAACCCAGGTGAAGTAGTAAAACTAACCCAGGTAAAGTAGTACCCCTAACCCAGGTGAAGTAGTACCCCTAACCCAGGTGAAGTAGTAAAACTAACCCAGGTGAAGTAGTACCCCTAACCCAGGTGAAGTAAGTACCCACTAACCCAGGTGAATAGTACTAACCCAGTAGTATACCCCTAACCCAGGTGAAGTAGTACCCTAACCCAGGTGAAGTAGTAAACTAACCCAGGTGAAGTAGTACCCCTAACCCAGGTGAAGTAGTACCCTAACCCAGGTGAAGTAGTAACCCCTAACCCAGGTGAAGTAGTAAACTAACCCAGGTGAAGTAGTACCCCTAACCCAGGTGAAGTAGTACCCCTAACCCAGGTGAAGTAATACCCCTAACCCAGGTGAAGTAGTACCCCTAACCCAGGTGAAGTAGTAAAACTAACCCAGGTGAAGTAGTAAACAACCGTAACCACCCAGGTGAAGTAGTACCCCTAACCCAGGTGAAGTAGTACCCCTAACCAGGTGAAGTAGTACCCCTAACCCAGGTGAAGTAGTACCCCTAACCCAGGTGAAGTAGTACCCCTAACCCAGGTGAAGTAGTACCCCTAACCCAGGTGAAGTAGTAACCCTAACCCAGGTGAAGTAGTACCCCTAACCCAGGTGAAGTAGTACCCCTAACCCAGGTGAAGTAGTACCCCTAACCCAGGTGAAGTAAGTAACCCTCATAACCCTAACCCAGGTGAAGTAGTACCTACCCTAACCCTAACCCAGGTGAAGTAGTACCCCTAACCCAGGTGAAGTAGTACCCCTAACCCAGGTGAAGTAGTACCCCTAACCCAGGTGAAGTAGTACCCCTAACCCAGGTGAAGTAGTACCCCTAACCCAGGTGAAGTAGTACCCCTAACCCAGGTGAAGTAGTACCCCTAACCCAGGTGAGTAGTAACCCCTAACCCAGGTGAAGTAGTACCAACCCTGAAAAAAACCCAGGTAAGTAGTACCCCTAACCCAGGTGAAGTAGTACCCTAACCCAGGTGAAGTAGTAAACTAACCCAGGTGAAGTAGTACCCCTAACCCAGGTGATGTAATACCCCTAACCCAGGTGATGTAGTACCCCTAACCCAGGTGAAGTAGTACCCCTAACCCAGGTGAAGTAGTAAAACTAACCCAGGTGAAGTAGTACCCCTAACCCAGGTGAAGTAGTACCCCTAACCCAGGTAAGTAAGTACCCCTAACCCAGGTGAAGTAGTACCCCTAACCCAGGTGAAGTAGTAAAACTAACCCAGGTGAAGTAGTACCCCTAACCCAGGTGAAGTAGTACCCCTAACCCAGGTGAAGTAGTACCCCTAACCCAGGTGAAGTAGTACCCCTAACCCAGGTGAAGTAGTAAAACTAACCCAGGTGAAGTAGTAAAACTAACCCAGGTGAAGTAGTACCCCTAACCCAGGTGAAGTAGTAACCCCTAACCCAGGTGAAGTAGTACCCCTAACCCAGGTGAAGTAGTACCCCTAACCCAGGTGAAGTAGTACCCCTAACCCAGGTGAAGTAGTACCCCTAACCCAGGTGAAGTAGTAAAACTAACCCAGGTGAAGTAGTACCCCTAACCCAGGTGAAGTAGTACCCCTAACCCAGGTGAAGTAATACCCCTAACCCAGGTGAAGTAGTACCCCTAACCCAGGTGAAGTAGTACCCCTAACCCAGGTGAAGTAATACCCCTAACCCAGGTGAAGTAGTACCCCTAACCCAGGTGAAGTAGTACCCCTAACCCAGGTGAAGTAGTACTCCTAACCCAGGTGAAGTAGTACCCCTAACCCAGGTGAAGTAGTAACCCTAACCCAGGTGATGTAATACCCCTAACCCAGGTGAAGTAGTAAAACTAACCCAGGTAAAGTAGTACCCCTAACCCAGGTGAAGTAATACCCCTAACCCAGGTGAAGTAGTAAAACTAACCCAGGTGAAGTAGTACCCCTAACCCAGGTGAAGTAATACCCCTAACCAGGTGAAGTAATACCCCTAACCCAGGTGAAGTAATACCCCTAACCCAGGTGAAGTAGTACCCCTAAACCCAGGTGAAGTAAGTAAACCCCTAACCCAGGTAAGTAGTTAAAACCTAACCCAGGTGAAGTAGTACCCCTAACCCAGGTGAAGTAGTACCCCTAACCCAGGTGAAGTAGTACCCCTAACCCAGGTGAAGTATCCCCTTTTGCATTTGGCTGTTATAGAGAGAAGCAGCAGTATCCCCTTTTGCATTTGGCTGTTATAGAGAGAAGCAGCAGTCTAGCAGCTAGTATTAACCCTGTATTATCTGGTCTGTCTGTCTGTCTCTCAGTGCTGCTGAATCAGTGATGCACGGCCACTCAGACTCTATTCTCCTGTTCCACCAGCAGAATGTCCCACGCACCAAACAACTGGAGCAGGTCAGCCACACACACACACACACACAGAGGGCGTTCGCATGCTTCCCATCACAAACTGTTTTTTTTAATAGGTTGTGCATATATTATGATGACATTTTGGTCTTCGGCAAGGTTTTTTCGGCTATGTGTTCACCCCAAAAAATTCTGAGACAAGCCGAAGTCTACGCAACTTCGACGATGATTGGTCAACAGTAGGGATTCTTCAACGAAGAGTTTGTTGTCGTTTAATGAGAGACGCACACAGACACAGATACACACACACACAGACACACACACACAGACACACACAGACACACACACACAGACACAACACACACACAGACACACACACAAGACACAACAACAGACACACCACATCACACACACACACAGAACACACAGACACAACACCAGACACAACACACATCACACACAGACACACAAACACAGACAACACACAACACACATACACCACACCACACAGACACACACACACACACACACCACCAACACACACACAGCACACACACCACACACACACACACACACACACAGACACACACACAGAACACAAACCCACATACACACACACACACACACACACACAACACACACCACACAGACACACCACACAGAACACACAGACACACACAGACACACACACACCACAGACACCACACACACACAGACACACACAGACACACACACACACAGACACACACACACACACACACACACACACACACACACACAGACACAGGGTGATATATGACAGGGTGATATATGACAGGGTGATATCTGACTAGTGGGAAGGGAATGTGTGAAACTACAGGTGTTCTAGAAAGTGTTTATCTATTTCTGTCCACGTACTTGTCTTTGTTCCTGTTTCTAGTAGAAACTACAAGCTGTTGAAGTGTTTTGCTTTAGATATGCAATGCTTTGCTTAAAAATCTCCATGAGTATACACGTTTCAGTAACGGTAGAATGCTTTATTACTTGGCATAAGCATTTCTCAACCTTTTAAAATGTATTATGAGAAGGCTTTATTAACAACCTGTAATAGTTCTGTGTGTCTCGTCTCCCCCTGTCTCTCCTCTCCCCCCGTCTCTCCTCTCCCCCTGTCTCTCCTCTCCCCCTGTCTCTCCTCTCCCCCCGTTTCTCTCCTCTCCCCCCGTCTCTCCTCTCCCCCGTCTCTCGTCTCCCCTGTCTCTCCTCTCCCCCTGTCTCTCCTCTCCCCCCTTTCTCTCCTCTCCCCCCGTCTCCTCTCCCCCGTCTCTCGTCCTTCCCCCTGTCTCTCCTCTCCCCCGTCCCCTCCTCTCCCCCCGTCTCTCCTCTCCCCCTGTCTCTCCTCTCCCCCTTCTCTCCTCTCCCCCCCTCTCTCTCTCCTCTCCCCCCTGTCTCTCCTCTCCCCCCCCGTCCTCTCCTCCCTCTCCCCCTGTCTCTCCTCTCCCCCCCTTCTCTCCTCTCCCCCTGTCTCTCCTCTCCCCCCCGTCTCTCCTCTCCCCCTGTCTCTCTCTCTCCCCCCTGTCCTCCTCTCCCCCGTCTCTCCTCTCCCCCCTGTCTCTCCTCTCCCCCCTCTCTCCTCCTCTCCCCCTGTCTCTCCTCTCCCCCCTTGCTCTCCTCTCCTCCCCGTCTCCCTCCCCCCGTCTCTCCTCTCCCCCCTGTCTCTCCTCTCCCCCCCTGTCTCTCCTCTCCCCCGTCTCTCCTCTCCCCCGTCTCTCCTCTCTCTCCCCCTGTCTCTCCTCTCCCCCCTGTCTCTCTCTCCTCTCCCCCCGTCCTCTCCTCTCCCCCTGTCTCTCCTCTCCCCCCTGTCTCTCCTCTCCCCCTGTCTCTCCTCTCCCCCCTTCTCTCCTCTCCCCCCTCTCTCCTCTTCCCCCTTTCCTCTCCTCTCCCCCCTGTCTCTCCTCCTTTCCCCCCTTTCTCTCTCCTCTCCCCCCCTGTCTCTCCTCTCCCCCCTGTCTCTCCTCTCCCCTGTCTCCCTCTCCCCCCTTCTCTCCTTTCCCCTCCCCCCTTTCTCTCCTCCCCCCTGTCTCTCCTCTCCCCTTCTCTCTTTTCCCCCTGTCCTCTCTCTTCTCCCCCGTCTCTCTTCTCCCCCGTCTCTCTCCTCCCCCTGTCTCTCTTCTCCCCCTGTCTCTCCTCTCCCCCCTGTCTCTCCCTCTCCCCCGTCTCTCCTCTCCCCCCTGTTCTCCTCCCCCCCTGTCTCTCTTCTATCCCCCCCTGTCTCTCTTCTCCCCCCGTCTCTCTTCTCCACATGTATCTCCTCCCCCCTGTGTCTCTCCTCCCCCCTGTCTCTCCTCTCCAACCCCTGTCTCTACTCTCCCCCCCGTCTCTCCTCCCCCCCCCGTCTCTCATCTCCCCCCCGTCTCTCTTCTCCCCCTGTCTCTCCTCTCCCCCTGTCTCTCCTCTCCCCTGTCTCTCCTCTCCCCCCCGTCTCTCCTCTCCCCCCTGTCTCTCCCCCCCCCCCCCCCCGTCTCTCCTCTCTCCCCCGTCTCTCCTCTCCCACAGTGCGCCCCATCAGGGAAACATCCCAGTCTGTCAGGGCAGCTGAGCTCCAGCAGCACCCCTCCCATGGGCACCCCCAAGTCCCAGAGCGGCACCCCCAGACCGGCCTCTGTGGTAGGGTGCCACCTCCAGGCTGCGGGAAGCAGGACCCCCTCTTCAACGGGACACCCCGACTCTGAGCCCCCCCAGACCAGACTGGGGGGTCCTGGAGTCTCCAATAACAGTAGCAGTACCCCCTCCCACCAGCCAGGGAGCGCTGTTGCGCCTACACCCTGTGGACCAGGCCCAGGCCCCGGGGGTGGAGGTCGTGGGGGGGAGGGGAAAGGGGTGCTGCCTCACCCCAGTGCGGGGGTGTCTCCGTCAGGTAGCCCCTCGGTGCTCTCAGCCCACCTGCAGGTCGATGTGGGGGTGCGGGGCGGGGGTGGTCCGGGGGGTAACGGGGGAGACGGGGGTCTGTCTAAAGAACAGCTGGAGCACAGAGAGAGGTCTCTACAGACCCTCAGGGACATCGAGAGGCTTCTGCTCCGCTCCGGGACAGCAGGGGGCGCCGTAGAGCCACCAGGCCCCAACAACAACCCCAACAATGTAAACAACATCAACACTGAGGGTAGTGGCGGCGGTCCGATGGAGGACGGGGAGAATAGCGGTAACGGTAATAATACTGGTGGGAACAGCTTGTTGCTTCCCCCTATGGGCCAGATGAAGAGGTACGAGGAGCCTCTCAGGTCCATCATCTCCCAGACGCAGCAGCTGGGGGGGCCAGGGGGGATGGACGACTCTCCCATGGGGGGTCCCCACCCCCACGGCCTGCCCCCCCACCACTCCCCTGGGGGCCTGGACATGGGGCCCCTCTTGGGTCCTGACGGTCTGACCCCGGAGCAGGTCGCCTGGAGACAGCTGCAGGAGGAATATTACCAGGAGAAGAGAAGGCAACAGGAGATTCAGCCCAACCCTCACACACACCCACAGCACTTCAGAATGATGCAGGAGATGAGCATGGGGCAGGGGGGGCCCCCGATTATGATGAGGGGTCCCCCTCCGCCGTACCACAGCAAGCCTGGGGAGCAGCAGTGGGGGCCAGCTGGGATGGGACCGGGAGGGATGGGGCCGGGTAACCCTCGGATGATAGACATGCACCACGAGGGGCCCCGGGGTCCACGGTTCCTGGGCCAGATGCAGAGGGGTCCCCCTGGAGGAGGGGGGTTCCCAGGCAGTCCTGGAGGGGTGTTATCCATTGAGGGTCTCAGCCCCCAACGGGCCCCCAGGCCAGGCATGTGGATAGAAGACCTGCCCCCCAACATGATGGGTGGTGGCAGGGGGCCGTTCTACCATGGGGGGCCAGGTGGGGGACCCCCCCAACACATGCAGGGTGACCCTGAGCGCCTGCTGACCCGGGAAGATATGTTCCGCATCATGGAGAAGAGGCAGCTGCAGGGGCTCCACCACCTGGAGCTGGAGAGGATAGCCCAACAACAACAACAGGGTATGGGGGGCCCCAGGATGATGGAGGGGCCAGGGGGGTTCCCCAACCAGGGGATGGGCCGAGGGCCGGGATCGAGGGAGGACCCCATGGACTTCCTAGGGTCCAGGGAGATTATGGGGTCCCCGGGCGGGGGTGTAGGAGGAGGGGGTCCCCAGATGAGAGATCTAGTAGACAACTCTCTCGGCCCCGGGGGGATGAACATGAACATGAATGCTAACATGATGAACCAGCAGATGAACCAACAGCAGCAGATGATGCTGCAGAAGCTGAGAGGAGGAGGAAGAGGAGGAAGAGGAGGAGGAGGGCCACTAGGGGACTTGCTTAGCCAGGAGGACATCGCTCGGATCCGAGCCGCCCAGAATGGTGGTGGACGTGGAGGGAATAAAGTGATGATCCAGGGACCTGACGGCCCGCTCCAGTTCCCCAATCAGGGGCCCTTCCCTGGGGGACCGGGAGGAGGCGAGGGGGGTTACCTCCAGGGGCCCGGGGTTGACATGTTCGGATTGCCTGACCAGCATGGTGGGGGGCCTCACATGGGGGGTACGTCTCGCCTCAGCCACATGCCCATGGGGGGCGGTGGTGGTGGGGGGGGACCCCGGTGCGCGGACCTAGGCCCTCACCACCCTTCGGACCTGTCCATCAACGTGAACCCCAGCATGGTCTCCCCGGCGATGCACCCTCCCCCTCACCAGCTCAAGTCTCCGTCCCTCATCCAGGAGCCGTCGCCCCTCATGAGCTCACCCTCCGCCGCAGGCCTTAAGTCCCCCTCTCAGATATCCTCCGCTGGGGGTTCTCAGAGCCAGCAACACCCCCTACCTCCTGCCTCTGGGGCCGGGACCCCCTCCTCTTCCTCCATGAAGTCTCCCCAGGTGATGGGCCCCTCCCTGGGGCTGCGCTCCCCCTCGGGCTCCCCTGGACGTCTGAAGTCTCCAGCCATGGTGGCGTCTCCAGGGTGGACGTCCTCTCCTAAGACAGCTCTACCCAGCCCTGGGGGACCTAGCAGTGGAAAGGGGCTGGGGAACGGAGGCAGCAGCTCCACAGAGACAGGTAAGAACTAGATACGGGATAGGTCCCAGATGGACATGTGACCTCTGATAAGGACAGGGATCACTGACTGTGCTATCGCTACACTGTAGCCTGTCTTGAATCTCTCCTTTAGATCAAGTGCCTATAGAAAGTCTACACCCTGTTTATTTTTTTCCACATTTTGTTGCGTTACAAAGTGGGATTGAACTAGATGTATTTTTGTAATTGATCTACACACAATACTCCATAATGTCAAAGTAAAAATAAAAGTATCTTTTATTTTTACAAATTAATACATTTTTTATAACTAAAATATAGTCGTTGCAGATGTATTTAGTAAGTATAAATAAATAATAACAATCAATATTAAGTATTCTGCCCCTTTGTTTAGCCTAAATGAGTTCAGGAGTAAAATGTGGCTTAACAAATCACATAAGTTATATGGACTCACTCTGAAATAATAGGGGCTGACATGATTTCTGAATGACTAACCCTTCCTCTGTCCCCCATACATACAACATCTGTAAGGTCCCTCAGTCAAGTATTGAATTTAAAGCACAGATTCAACTACAAAGACCAGGGAGCTTTTAGAAAGCCTCATAAAGAAGGGCAGTGATTGGTAGAAAATCAGACATTTAATATATCTTTAACCATGGTTAAGTGAATAATATATACACACTACATGACCAACAGTATGTGGACACCTGCTCATCAAACATCTCATTCCAACATCATGGGCATTAATATGGAGTTGGTCCCCCCTTTGCTGCTATAACAGCCTCCACTCTTCTGGGAAGGCTTTCCACTAGATGTTGGAACATTGCTGCAGGGACTTGCTTCCATTCAGCCACAAGAGTATTAGTGAGGTCGGGCACTGATGTTGGGCGATTAGGCCTGGCTCGCAGTCGGCGTTCCTATTCATCCCAAAGGTGTTCGATGGGGTTGAGGTCAGGGCTCTGTGTAGGCCAGTCAAGTTCTTCCACACCGATCTCGACAAACCATTTCTGTATGGACCTCAATTTGTGCACGGGGGCATTGTCATGCTGAAACAGGAAAGGGCCTTCCCCAAACTGTTGCCAAAAAGTTGGAAGCACAGAATCGTCTAGAATGTCATTGTATGGTGTAGCATTAAGATTTCCCTTCACTGGAACTAAGGGGCCTAGCCCGAACCATGAAAAACAGCCCCAGACCATTATTTCTCCTCCACCAAACTTTACAGTTGGCACTATGCATTGGGGCAGGTCGTGTTCTCCTGGCATCCGCCAAACCCAGATTTGTCTGTCGGACTGCCAGATGATGAAGTGTGATTCATCACTCCAGAGAACGCGTTTCCACTGCTCCAGAGTCCAATGGCGGCGAGCTTTACACCACTCCAGCCGATGCTTGCCATTGCCCATGGTGATCTTAGGCTTGTGTACGGCTGCTCGGCCATGGAAACCCATTTCATGAAGCTCCCGACGAACAGTTCTTGTGCTGACGTTGCTTCCAGAGGCAGTGGCGGCGGTCCCGTTCTGTGAGCTTGTGTGGCCTACCACTTCGCGGCTGAGCCGTTGTTGCTCCTAGATGTTTCCACTTCATAATAACAGCACTTACAGTTGACCGGGGCAGCTCTAGCAGGGCAGAAATTTGACGAACTGACTTGTTGGAAAGGTGGCATCCAATGACTGTGCCACGTTGAAAGTCACTGAGCTCTTCAGTACGGACCATTCTACTGCCAATGTTTGTCTATGGAGATTGCATGGCTGTGTGCTCGATTTTAAACACCTGTCAGCAACGGGTGTGGCTGAAATAGCAGAATCCACTCATTTGAAGGGGTGTCCACATACTTTTGTATATACAGTGGGGGAAAAAAATATTTAGTCAGCCACCAATTGTGCAAGTTCTCCCACTTAAAAAGATGAGAGCGGCCTGTAATTTTCATAATAGGTACACGTCAACTATGACAGACAAATTGAGATTTTTTTTTCCAGGAAATCACATTGTAGGATTTTTAATGAATTTATTTGCAAATTATGGTGGAAAATAAGTATTTGGTCACCTACAAACAAGCAAGATTTCTGGCTCTCACAGACCTGTAACTTCTTCTTTAAGAGGCTCCTCTGTCCTCCACTCGTTACCTGTATTAATGGCACCTGTTTTAACTTGTTATCAGTATAAAAGACACCTGTCCACAACCTCAAACAGTCACACTCCAAACTCCACTATGGCCAAGACCAAAGAGCTGTCAAAGGACACCAGAAACAAAATTGTAGACCTGCACCAGGCTGGGAAGACTGAATCTGCAATAGGTAAGCAGCTTGGTTTGAAGAAATCAACTGTGGGAGCAATTATTAGGAAATGGAAGACATACAAGACCACTGATAATCTCCCTCGATCTCGGGCTCCACGCAAGATCTCACCCCGTGGGGTCAAAATGATCACAAGAACGGTGAGCAAAAATCCCAGAACCACACGGGGGGACCTGCAGAGAGCTGGGACCAAAGTAACAAAGCCTACCATCAGTAACACACTACGCCGCCAGGGACTCAAATCCTGCAGTGCCAGACGTGTCCCCCTGCTTAAGCCAGTACATGTCCAGGCCCGTCTGAAGTTTGCTAGAGTGCATTTGGATGATCCAGAAGAGGATTGGGAGAATGTCATATGGTCAGATGAAACCAAAATATAACTTTTTGGTAAAAACTCAACTCGTCGTGTTTGGAGGACAAAGAATGCTGAGTTGCATCCAAAGAACACCATACCTACTGTGAATCATGGGGGTGGAAACATCATGCTTTGGGGCTGTTTTTCTGCAAAGGGACCAGGATGACTGATCCGTGTAAAGGAAAGAATGAATGGGGCCATGTATCGTGAGATTTTGAGTGAAAACCTCCTTCCATCAGCAAGAGCATTGAAGATGAAACGTGGCTGGGTCTTTCAGCATGACAATGATCCCAAACACACCGCCTGGGCAACGAAGGAGTGGCTTCGTAAGAAGCATTTCAAGGTCCTGGAGTGGCCTAGCCAGTCTCCAGATCTCAACCCCATAGAAAATCTTTGGAGGGAGTTGAAAGTCTGTGTTGCCCAGCGACAGCCCCAAAACATCACTGCTCTAGAGGAGATCTGCATGGAGGAATGGGCCAAAATACCAGCAACAGTGTGTGAAAACCTTGTGAAGACTTACAGAAAACGTTTGACCTTTGTCATTGCCAACAAAGGGTATATAACAAAGTATTGAGAAACTTTTGTTATTGACCAAATACTTATTTTCCACCATAATTTGCAAATAAATTCATAAAAAATCCTACAATGTGATTTTCTGGATTTTTTTTTCTCATTTTGTCTGTCATAGTTGACGTGTACCTATGATGAAAATTACAGGCCTCTCTCATCTTTTTAAGTGGGAGAACTTGCACAATTGGTGGCTGACTAAATACTTTTTTCCCCCACTGTATAGTGTATGTGATGGGATGAATAGACATTATGGACAGTATGTGTATAGAATATACAAAATAAACACTGAAAAAAAATATAAACACAACATGTAAAGTGTTGGTCCCATGTTTCATGAGCTGAAATAAAAGATCCCAGAAATTACAAAAAGCTTATTTCTCTCAAGTTTTGTGCACAATTTTGTTTACATCCCTGTTGGTGAATATTTCTCCTTTGCCAAGATAATCCATCTACCTGACAGGTGTGACATATCAATAAGCTGATTAAACAGCATGATCATTACACAGGTGCACCTTGTGCTGACCACGATAAAAGGCCAATCTAAAATGTGCAGTTTTGTCACACAACACAATGCCACAGATGTCTCACGTTTTGAGGGAGTGTGAAATTAGCATGATGACTGCAGGAATGTCCACCAGAACTATTGCCAGAGTTGTGAATGTTTATTTCTCTAACATAAGATAAATAATGTCATTTTAGAGAATTTGGCAGTACGTCCAACCGGCCTCACAACCACAGACCATGTGGTGTCGTGTGGGCGAGTGGTTTGCTGATGTCAGCGTTGTGAACAGAGTGCCCCATGATGGCGGTGGGGTTATGGTATGGGCAGGCATAAGCTACGGACAACGAACACAATTGCATTTTATCAATTGGCAATTTGAATGCACAAAAATACCGCGACGAGATCCAGAGGCCCATTGTAAGGCCCATTGTTTTTAAGATATCTGTGACCAACAGATTCATATCTGTATTCCCAGTCATGTGAAATCGATAGATTAGGGCCTAATGAATTTATTCAATTGACTGGTTTCCTCATATAAAATCTTTGAAATTGTTGCATGTTGCATTTATATTTTTGTTCAGTATACATATGAAGTGGGTAAAACAGTATGTAAACATTATTAAAGTGACCAGTGATTCCATGTCTATGTACATAGGGCAGCAGCCTCTAAGGTGCAGGGTTGAGTAACCGGGTGGTAGCCGGCTAGTGACAGTGACTAAGTTCAGAGCAGGGTACTGGGTGGAGGCCGGCTAGTGATGGCTATTTAACAGTCTGGTGGCCTTTAGATAGAAGCTGTTTTTATGTCTCTCGGTCCCAGTTTTGATGCACCTGTACTGACTTCACCTTCTAGATGGTAACAGGCCGTGGCTCGGGTGGCTGAGGTCCTTGATGATATTTTTGGCCTTCTTGTGACATCGGGTGCTGTAGGTGTCCTGGAGGGCGGGCAGTAATAATAATAATAATAATATAATTAATAATAATAATAATTAGTCATTTAGCAGACGCTCTTATCCAGAGCGACTTACATGAGCAATTAGGGTTAAGTGCCTTGCTCAAGGGCACATCGACAGATTTTTCACCTAGTCGGCTCGGGGATTAGAACCAGCGACCTTTCAGTTACTGCCACAACGCTCTTAACCACTAAGCTACCTGCCGCCCCGTAGTGTGCCCCCAGTGATGCGTTGGGCAGACCGCACCACCCTCTGGAGAGCCCTGCAGTTGCGGACGGTGCAGTTGCTGTACCAGGCGGTGATACAGCCTGACAGGATGCTCTCAATGGTGCATCTGTAAAAGTTTGTGACGGTCTTAGGGGCAGTCGTCCTTCTGAACTGAGCTGCAGCACAGGAAGGATGGTGGGGATGGGGATCTTAAAGCAGCTACATAGTGGCTGTGATGGGAGAACTGAGGATGGATCAACAACATTGTAGTGACTCCACAATAATCACCTAAATTAGTGAAAATAATAATTAAAATATACAGAATTAGAATATTCCAAAAGGCACTGAATTAATACTGAGAAAAAAACACACTTTTTGGCCTAAATGTAAATCCATCACTGAGTACCACTCTTCATATTTTCAAGCATTGTGGTGTTTGTATATATTATGGATACCCATTACTACTCTTCCTGGGGTCCAGCGAAATTAAGGCAGTTATACATTTTAAAAACATTACAATACATTCATAACAGATTTCACAACATATTAAGTGTGTGCCCTCAGGCCTCTACTCTACTACCACATATCTACAACACAAAATCCATGTGTACATGTGTGTATAGTGCGTATGTTATCGTGTGTGTGTATGCATGTGTCTGTGTCTATGTTTGTGTTGCTTCACAGTCCCCGCTGTTCCATAAGGTGTATTTTTATCTGTTTTTTAAATCTGATTCTACTGCTTGCATCAGTTACTTGATGTGGAATAGAGTTCCATGTAGTCATGGCTCTATGTAGTACTGTGCGCCTCCCATAGTCTGTTCTGGACTTGGGGACTGTGAAGAGACCTCTGGTGGCATGTCTTGTGGGGTATGCATGGGTGTCCGAGCTGTGTGCCAGTAGTTCAAACAGACAGCTCGGTTCATTCAACATGTCAACGCCTCTCATAAACACAAGTAATGATGAAGTCAATCTCTCCTCCAATTTGAGCCTGGAGAGATTGACATGCATATTATTCATGTTAGCTCTCTGTGTCTTGTGGGGTATGCTTGATTTCGACAAAGACTGGGACGTTTTTCAGGATGAAAAGAAACAGAATGATGGAGGAAAACCTGCTTCAGTCTACTTTCCACCAGACACTGGGAGAGGAATTCACATTTTTAGCAGGAAAATAGCCTACAACACAAAGCCAAATCTACACTGGAGTTGCTTACCAAGAAGACAGTGAATGTTCCTGAGTAGCCGAGTTACAGTTTTGACTGAAAATCTATGGCAGGACTTGAAAATTGCTATTTAGCCATGATTCCCAACACCTTGACAGAGCTTGAAGAATTTTGAAAAGAATATGCAAATATTGCACATTTCAGGTGTGCAGAGAGGTGTATTAGATTTACCAAAGAAGACTCACAGCTGTAATGGCTGCCAAAGGTGTTCCTAACATGTATTGACTGAGGGGGTGAATACTTATCTAATCAAGGTTCTTCCACTTTGACATTACAGAGTATTTTGTGTAGATCTTTTACAAAAAAAATTACAATGAAATCCATTTTAATCCCACTTTGTAACAGAATAAAATGTGAAGACTTTCCACTGTGAGTATTTTATCTACATGCTGCTGCAAACTAAATCGCTATTTTTGGATACTAAAGATGTTTCTCTCTCTATTCTCGTTATTCTTGATTCTTTGATCTTGTTCTTGTCCCTGATAGGACCCCCCAGGAGTTCTAACTCCACACCTATCAGCCAGCCGGGTTCCATGGCTCCCAGCATGCCGTTCACCTCGTCGCCAGACAACCCTCCGACTCAGAACCCCCTCTCCCTCATTATGTCACAGATGTCCAAGTATGCCATGCCTAGCTCCACCCCCCTCTACCACGACGCTATCAAGACCATCGCCACCTCCGATGATGAGATGATGCCAGATCGCCCTCTGCTGTCCGGAGTCAACATCGGAGGTGCACTGACCACTTGTCTCGGTCAAAGTCAAGCCGTAATCTACAATTTTTGTGTGATGATAATCTTTCTGTTATTCCATATTTGTTAAAGAGCAAATGGGTTTTATAAATATTTTATTTGAATTGCCTCTAATACAGTTCAGATATAACATCTTGAGATAAAATGGGGCATGTTAATTTACATGTTATTGTTATTGTATGAATGGTCCTGTTTAGTAAATACAGTGATGATCCTCTCTCTCTCTCTGTCTCTCTGTCTCTCTGTCTCTCTCTCTGTCGGTCTCTGTCTCTCGCGCTGTCTCTCTCTGTCTGTCTCTCTCTCTCTGTCTCTCACTCTGTCGGTCTCTCTCTCTGTCGGTCTCTGTCTCTCGCGCTGTCTCTCTCTGTCTGTCTCTCTCTCTCTGTCTCTCACTCTGTCGGTCTCTCTCTCTCTCTGTCTCTCTGTCTGTCTCTCTCTCTCTGTCTCTCACTCTGTCGGTCTCTCTCTCTGTCGGTCTCTGTCTCTCGCGTTGTCTCTCTCTCTCTGTCTCTTTCTGTCTCTGTCTCTCTCTCTCTGTCTCCTGTCAGGTAACCCAGGGAACCACCAGGGCTCTATGCTGCTGTCCCAGAGTTCCATTGGGCCCCACAGCGGCCAGCTGTCCCCCAACCCCATGGGCCTGAACGGTATGAACCCTGCCATGATGGGGTACAGCTTGTCCCCCATGCACCCCCAAAACCAGATAGGAGGGTTCCCTCGCATGCAGCACCCCGGAGGCCCCATGCACTCCCCTCTGGGCGGGATGCCCCCCCAGTTCTCCCAACAGAACCCAGAAGATGTCATCCCCCCCCAGCAGCTGCAGCACATGCTCAGTAAGGGCCTGTCCCACCCCCACCAGCGCGGCCCCCACCCCTCGGACTCCTTTATGGGCCCCGACGGCCCCGACCTGAGTGACGTCATCCGACCGACCCACTCTGGCATCCCGGAGTTCGACCTGTCTCGTATCATCCCCTCCGACAAGCCCTCCTCCACCCTGCAGTACTTCCCCAAGGCAGAGGGCATGTCCGGGGGCCAGCAGGGCCAGGGGAACCACCCTAACCCCCACCAGGGCCAGCCTGGCTCCCAGGGACCTGGCCAAGGCCCCCCTCCTCCACAGCTCCTGAAACAGCTCTCTGCCCCCGGCCCTCACAGCAATGCCCCCTCCTCCAACCCTCACATCGCCAACCTGCAGAACATGATGGCAGAGCACCAGCTGCCCCCCCACCCCTCCCACTGCGGGATGGGTAGGCATGGTATCGGGGGGATGCCCCAGGGAGGGTCCAGGGGAATGGGGGGTCCGGGTGGAGGGGGCATGGGTGGCCACATGATGCACCCTGGACACCTGATGGGCAGGACAGGTATGGGTATGGGGCCAGGCCACACCCAGCAACAGCTCCAACAGCAGGCCATGATGGCTAACAGCCTCCTCCACGGTGGCCACCCCGGTCCCCAGCCCCACCCCTCCATGATGTCCTCCCAACAACACAGCCTAATGGCCCAGCAGAACCTCATGCTGATGCAGGCTAAGCAGAGAGGTATGGGCCTTCCCGGGGACCCCTTCGGCCAGCAAGGGGGACCCCTCATGTCCCCTCAGGGCCCCATGATGGGTCCTGGCCCCCCACACCCCCAGGGTGGGATGATGGGCCCCGGCATTGGCCCTGGCCCCCAGGGGCCACTCAGACAGAGAGGGATGTCCCTGGACAGTCCCCTAGGCTACGGCCCTGGACCAGGGAGTATGGCTAACATGCCCTTCTGATCGTCCTGCTGCATGGCTGCAGCCCAAAGAGCACTCTATTTACTACACAGTGCTGACTGTAAAAACCTTCTTTCCAATAGGGCGTGTTTCCATTGTCTCATATGTTTTCATGAATGTTAATATTGTTATTATTATTGCTTCAAATTGTTAAACAAATAAATGATATCAGTTGATAATCTTCATATTGTTTGGAGTACAAACTGATAAAAAAAATAATAATAATATTGAAGAGCTGTCGTGATAACGGTTTAATAAAGACATTTGAAGCCATTTTCTAAAATATCTGTAAAATAGGTAGCCTATATTTCACAGATGACTGTATTTGTTTTGGACGAGGTTTACGGTTGTGAGGAAAAGCCTCTGGATTTATATATGTTTTAATATCATTGATTATTTTTCTCCTCCGGCTACCAAACTGGAATATATAAAAAATAATATATATATATATATATACATACAGTACCAGTCAAAAGTTTGGACACACCTACTCATTCAAGGGGTTTTCTTTATTTTTTTACTATTTTCTACATTGTAGAATAATAGTGAAGACATCAAAATTATGAAATAACACATATGGAATCATGTAGTAACCAAAAAAGTGTTAAACAAATCAAAATATATTTTATATTTGAGATTCTTCAAATAGCCACTCTTTGCCTTGATGACAGCTTTGCACACTCTTGGCATTCTCTCAACCAGCTTCACCTGGAATGCTTTCCCAACAGTCTTGAAGGAGTTCCCACATATTCTGAGCACTTGTTGGCTGCTTTTCCTTCACTCTGCCGTCCGACTCATCCCAAACCATCTCAATTGGATTGAGGTCGGGGGATTGTGGAGGCCAGGTAATCTGATGCAGAACTCCATCACTCTCCTTGGTAAAAAAAAAATGACTATCGTTTCTCTTTGCTTATTTGAGCTGTTCTTGCCATAATATGGACTTGGTCTTTTACCAAATAGGGCTATCTTCTGTATACCCCCCCTACCTTGTCACAACACAACTGATTGTCTCAAACACATTGAGAAGGAAAGACATTCCACAAATTAACTTTTAAAAAGGCACACCTGTTAATTGAAATGCATTTCAGGTGACTACCTCATGAAGCTGGTTGAGAGAATGCCAAGAGTGTGCAAAGCTGTCATCAAGGCAAAGGGTGGCTATTTGAAGAATCTCAAAAATAAAATATATTTTGATTTGTTTAACACTTTTTTGGTTACTACATGATTCCATATGTGTTATTTCATAGTTTTGATGTCTTCACTATTATTCTACAATATAAGAAATGGTAAAAATAAAGAAAATCCCTTGAATGAGTTGGTGTGTCCAAACTTTTGACTGGTACTGTATATATATAATATATTATATATAGTTGCTGTATATAAGATGCAATTTGTGATTGTTTGCAATTGTTCTGTATAACTGTGTTTTAATAGAAGTCTAAAAAATGAAAGAATACTGAACTCCATATCATTGTGTTGGTGTCGTTGACCTTTTAGATAGTTATACTTCTAGACAGTAGGTTATACTTCTAGACACAGTAGTTTATACTTCTAGACACAGTAGTTTATACTTCTAGACAGTAGTTTATACTTTTAGACACAGTAGTTTATACTTTTAGACACAGTAGTTTATACTTCTAGACACAGTAGTTTATACTTTTAGACACAGTAGTTTATACTTCTAGACACAGTAGTTTATACTTCTAGACAATAGTTTATACTTCTAGACACAGTAGTTTATACTTCTAGACAGTAGTTTATACTTCTAGACAGTAGTTTATACTTCTAGACACAGTAGTTTATACTTCTAGACACAGTAGTTTATACTTTTAGACCAAGTATTTATACTTCTAGACACAGTAGTTTATACTTCTAGACACAGTAGTTTATACTTCTAGACACAGTAGTTTATACTTCTAGACAGTAGTTTATACTTCTAGACAGTAGTTTATACTTCTAGACACAGTAGTTTATACTTCTAGACAGTAGTTTATACTTTTAGACACAGTAGTTTATACTTCTAGACACAGTAGTTTATACTTCTAGACACAGTAGTTTATACTTCTAGACACAGTAGTTTATACTTCTAGAACAGTAGTTTATACTTCTAGACAGTAGTTTATACTTCTAGACACAGTAGTTTATACTTTAGACACAGTAGTTTATACTTCTAGACACAGTAGTTTTATACTTCTAGACAGTAGTTTATACTTCTAGACACAGTAGTTTATACTTCTAGACACAGTAGTTTATACTTCTAGACACAGTAGTTTATACTTCTAGACCAGTAGTTTATACTTTAGACACAGTAGTTTATACTTCTAGACACAGTAGTTTATACTTTAGACACAGTAGTTTATACTTCTAGACCAGTAGTTTATACTTCTAGACACAGTAGTTTATACTTCTAGACACAGTAGTTTATACTTCTAGACAGTAGTTTATACTTCTAGACACAGTAGTTTATACTTTAGACACAGTAGTTTATACTTTAGACACAGTAGTTTATACTTTTAGACAGTAGTTTATACTTCTAGACACAAGTTAAGTTTATACTTTAGACACAGTAGTTTACTTCTAGACACAGTAGTTTATACTTCTAGCACAGTAGTTTATACTTCTAGACACAGTAGTTTATACTTTTAGACACAGTAGTTTACTTCTACAGTATTTTACTTCTAGACACAGTAGTTTATACTTCTAGACACAGTAGTTTATACTTCTAGACACAGTAGTTTATACTTCTAGACACAGTAGTTTATACTTCTAGACACAGTAGTTTATACTTCTAGACACAGTAGTTTATACTTCTAGACACAGTAGTTTATACTTCTAGACACAGAGTTTAGTAGTTTAGACCGTAGTTTCTTCTAGACACAGTAGTTTATACTTCTAGACAGTAGTTTATACTTCTAGACACAGTAGTTTATACTTCTAGACACAGTAGTTTATACTTCTAGACACAGTAGTTTATACTTCTAGACACAGTAGTTTATACTTCTAAAGACAACACAGTAGTTTATACTTCTAGACACAGTAGTTTATACTTTAGACACAGTAGTTTATACTTTAGACACAGTAGTTTATACTTTAGACACAGTAGTTTATACTTCTAGACACAGTAGTTTATACTTCTAGACAGTAGTTTATACTTCTAGACACAGTAGTTTATACTTCTAGACACAGTAGTTTATACTTCTAGACAGAGTTCTAGACACAGTAGTTTATACTTCTAGACACAGTAGTTTATATACTTCTAGACACAGTAGTTTATACTTTAGACACAGTAGTTATACTTTAGACAGATTTTACTTCTAGACACAGTAGTTTATACTTCTAGACACAGTAGTTTATACTTTAGACACAGTAGTTTATACTTTAGACACAGTAGTTTATACTTCTAGACACAGTAGTTTATACTTCTAGACACGTAGTTTATACTTCTAGACCAGTAGTTTATACTTCTAGACAGTAGTTTATACTTTTAGGACAACAGTAGTTTATACTTCTAGACACGTAGTTTATACTTCTAGACACAGTAGTTTATACTTCTAGACACAGTAGTTTATACTTTTAGACACAGTAGTTTATACTTCTAGACAGTAGTTTATACTTCTAGACAGTAGTTTATACTTCTAGACACAGTAGTTTATACTTCTAGACACAGTAGTTTATACTTCTAGACACAGTAGTTTATACTTCTAGACACAGTAGTTTATACTTTTAGACACAGTAGTTTATACTTCTAGACACAGTAGTTTATACTTCTAGACACAGTAGTTTATACTTCTAGACACAGTAGTTTATACTTCTAGACAGTAGTTTATACTTCTAGACACAGTAGTTTATACTTCTAGACACAGTAGTTTATACTTTAGACATAGTTTATACTTCTAGACACAGTAGTTTATACTTCTAGACACAGTAGTTTATACTTCTAGACACAGTAGTTTATACTTCTAGACACAGTAGTTTATACTTCTAGAACAGTAGTTTATACTTTTAGACACAGTAGTTTATACTTCTAGACACAGTAGTTTATACTTTAACCGTGTTTATACTTCATAACAGAGTGTTTATACTTCTAGACACAGTAGTTTATACTTCTAGAAAAGTAGTTTATATTCAGACACAGTAGTTTATACTTCTAGACACAGTAGTTTATACTTCTAGACACAGTAGTTTATACTTCTAGACACAGTAGTTTATACTTCTAGACAGTAGTTTATACTTCTAGACACAGTAGTTTATACTTCTAGACACAGTAGTTTATACTTCTAGACACAGTAGTTTATACTTCTAGACACAGTAGTTTATACTTCTAGACACAGTAGTTTATACTTTTAGACACAGTAGTTTATACTTCTAGACACAGTAGTTTATACTTCTGACACAGTAGTTTATACTTCTAGACACAGTAGTTTATACTTCTAGACACAGTAGTTTATACTTCTAGAACACGTAGTTTATACTTTTAGACACAGTAGTTTATACTTCTAGACACAGTAGTTTATACTTTAGACACAGTAGTTTATACTTTTAGACACAGTAGTTTATACTTCTAGACACAGTAGTTTATACTTCTAGACACAGTAGTTTATACTTCTAGACACAGTAGTTTATACTTCTAGACACAGTAGTTTATACTTTTAGACACAGTAGTTTATACTTCTAGACACAGTAGTTTATACTTTAGACACAGTAGTTTACGTACTTCTAGACACAGTAGTTTATACTTTAGACACAGTAGTTTATACTTCTAGACACAGTAGTTTATACTTCTAGACACAGTAGTTTATACTTCTAGACACGTAGTTTATACTTCTAGACACAGTAGTTTATACTTTAGACACAGTAGTTTATACTTCTAGACACAGTAGTTTATACTTTAGACACAGTATTTATACTTAGACACAGTAGTTTATACTTCTAGACACAGTAGTTTATACTTCTAGACACAGTAGTTTATACTTTAGACACAGTAGTTATATTTTAGACACATATTCTTCAGACACAGTAGTTTATACTTTAGACACAGTAGTGTTATACTTTAGAACAGTAGTTTATACTTCTAGACACAGTAGTTTATACTTTAGACACAGTAGTTTATACTTCTAGACACATAGTAGTTTTACTTTAGCAAGTAGTTTATACTTTTAGACAGTAGTTTCTAAGACACAGTAGTTTAACTTTAGACACAGTAGTTTATATTTAGAACATAGTATACAGACACATAGTTATACTTTAGACACATAGTTTTATATTCTAGACACAGTAGTTTATACTTTAGACAGTAGTTTAACTAACAGTAGTTATATACTTTAGACAAGTAGTTATACTTTGCACATAGTTAACTTTTGACCAAGAGAGTAAGTTAAGTTCTAGAACACATATTTATATTAACAAGATTATACTTCAAACAGTAGATACTTTAGCACATATTATACTTCTAAACAGTATTAATCTAAAGTAGTTTACTTGCACAGGTTATACTTTTGACCAGTATCATGCTGGAGAGGTAATTGTGGTGACAAATCTATTATAGTACAAAATACCCCTGTGATAGCATAAGCCATCATAAGACAAATTACCTTACAAATATGGACACAAATAGAGCTATAAGATTGCCATCGTTATATCATGTTATTATACGACACCAGCGCAAGGAATATGTTCTATTGCTGCAAGACTCTTATTAATGGCCAGAGAAGACTTCCCCATCTAGGTTATGTCTAGTGACACACTAAGGCAATCTCGAAAAGCTGGGTACATGATAATTACGCCAAGACAATTCAGATTGGCAAATTAGACCCAAAGGCTAATTGCTAAGACATCCTCGAAAACGAGGTGCTTTTTCATACAGGAGATTAGAGACCTGGGAGATTAGCAGACACGCTAATCAGCAATCTCCCCAGGCCAAGACCTGAAGATTGGCTGGGGTGAACAACTAATCATATTTTATTAGTATAAAAAAAATGTAAAATACATTTCACATACAGTAAAGTGATAGGCAATCCAAGCCTATTGGATAAAGAACAATATTACACTTTCACAAAACTACCTGGAACACAAATAGATAGGACGTTTATAAGCATTTGTTGCACATTGCGTTATTACTCATTGATTTGATTTGATTACGCATCACTCATGCATGCAATCAAGGGAGACTCATTGGTTCATTATGTTGGCTTGCACAAGCAGCTTGCTGTCATTTTATATCTGGTGAATATGTTGCCACAACCCCATAAAGAGAGATTAGACATACAGTAGGTTGATTAAATGATCCACAAGTTTTAACAGTAACCCCCCCCCCACCCTCCTATTATGAGTACAATACTTTTACTCATAATTAATTCAAAGATCAGATTTGACCATCAGTATCTGATAAGATGAGTTTCTCTGGTATTAAGGAAGTCAGGATGCAAGAATACAAATAAACTGTTAGATGGAGATTTGATACAATGTATTTAATTATATGGAACCGGATTCAACATAACAAGCTGCAAGTACAGTGAGGGAAAAAAGTATTTGATCCCCTGCTGATTTTGTATGTTTGCCCACTGACAAAGAAATGATCAGTCTATAATTTTAATGGTAAGTTTATTTGAACAGTGAGAGACAGAATAACAACAAAAAACATCCAGAAAAACGCATGTCAAAAATGTTATAAATTGATTTGCATTTTAATGAGGGAAATAAGTATTTGACCCACTCTCAATCAGAAAGATTTCTGGCTCCCAGGTGTCTTTTATACAGGTAACGAGCTGAGATTAGCAGCACACTCTTAAAGGGAGTGCTCCTAATCTCAGTTTGTTACCTGTATAAAAGACACCTGTCCACAGAAGCAATCAATCAATCAGATTCCAAACTCTCCACCATGGCCAAGACCAAAGAGCTCTCCAAGGATTTCAGGGACAAGATTGTAGACCTACAAAAGGCTGGAATGGGCTACAAGACCATCGCCAAGCAGCTTGGTGAGAAGGTGACAACAGTTGGTGGGATTATTCGCAAATGGAAGAAACACAAAATAACTGTCAATCTCCCTCGGCCTGGGGCTCCATGCAAGATCTCACCTCGTGGAGTTGAGAACGGTGAGGAATCAGCCCAGAACTACACAGGAGGATCTTGTCAATGATCTCAAGGCAGCTGGGACCATAGTCAACAAGAAAACAATTGGTAACACACTACGCCCTGAAGGAATGAAATCCTGCAGCGCCCGCAAGGTCCCCCTGCTCAAGAAAGCACATATCCAGGGCCGTCTGAAGTTTGCCAATGAACATCTGAATGATTCAGAGGAGAACTGGGTGAAAGTGTTGTGGTCAGATGAGACCAAAATCGAGCTCTTTGGCATCAACTCAACTCGCCATGTTTGGAGGAGGAGGAATGCTGCCTATGACCCCAAGAACACCATCCCCACCGGTGTTTTTCTGCTAAGGGGACAGGACAACTTCACCGCATCAAAGGGACGATGGACGGGGCCATGTACCGTCAAATCTTGGGTGAGAACCTCCTTCCCTTGCCAGGGCATTGAAAATGGGTCGTGGGTGGGTATTCCAGCATGACAATGACCCAAAACACATGGCCAAGGCAACAAGGGAGTGGCTCAAGAAGAAGCACATTAAGGTCCTGGAGTGGCCTAGCCAGTCTCCAGACCTTAATCCCATAGCAAATCTGTGGAGGGAGCTGAAGGTTTGAGTTGCCAAACGTCAGCCTCGAAATCTTAATGACTTGGAGAAGATCTGCAAAGAGGAGTGGGACAAAATCCCTCCTGAGATGTGTGCAAACCTGGTGGCCAACTACAAGAAACGTCTGACCTCTGTGATTGCCAACAAGGGTTTTGCCACCAAGTACTAAGTCATGTTTTGCAGAGGGGTCAAATACTTATTTCCCTCATTAAAATGCAAATAAATGTATTACATTTTTGAAATGCGTTTTTTTCTGGATTTTGTTGTTGTTATTCTGTCTCTCACTGTTCAAATAAACCTACCATTAAAATTATAGACTGATCATGTCTTTGTCAGTGGGCAAACGTACAAAATCAGCAGGGGATCAAATAATTATTTCCCTCACTGCATGTTGCCTCTTGCTATCAGAATGAGAGACAAAGAGATCTCTCAGTTTATACACTTCCAAGATAAACAAGTTTTAACCGACATCTGGCAACCATCACTGGAAGACCCTCCCGACCGAGATGGTACCAGCCGGCACCACAGACGGGACAGTCCCTCTACACCCCACAGTCTCAGTGGGCCAGCAGCCTCAGGAGGTCCTGGCGGAACCGCACCCCAGCGAAGGCGTACAGCAACGGGTTGAGGCAGCAGTGTGTGTACCCCAGGCTCTCTGTCACCACCAAGGCCTGGTCCAGACTGGTCCGGGACAGGCAGCTCAAACCAGAGACCAACCCCAGATCCACCAGGGTCTTCACCTAAACGTCACAGTGGAGAGAAGTCAATGGCACCCTGTTCCCTACAGTTTATAATGCACTTATTTGACCAGGGCTGTAAGGGTTGGTGTGAGGTGTGACCCAGGTGCGGTGCAGGTTAGAGAGTAGGCAGAGATGGTGAAACAAGGAACTTTACTGATGGTCCTGAAGCCAGGATACAAAATAACGGACTTTACACGAAAAAGAAAGGCGAAGCAAATAAGACTAAAAAAAACAGGCTGACAGACAAAAATACGACTATGACTGAAATAATAAATAAACAGGGAGAACACTTCTCACGTACCTGTCCACACGTCACGCGATCAGACACTGATTAGTACTGCTTGGCATAGTGAAACTAGCAGAGAAAACTGAGCAAGTGAACACAGGGAAGTGAGGGCATAAATACACAGGTGAATCAGATAGACACAGGTGAGATCAATAGGAAGATGATTAGTCCCGACTGTGAGTGAGGAGGTGCCGAAGGTTGTCGGAGGATGACACCTAGTGGGTCGCTCCGGAATTGCGACCCCCTCCTGTAACAGTGCCCCCTCCCCACCCGCCGGCAGTCCAGGATCCGGTCCACAGTAAAAGCCGGCTGTCCCATGACGAGGCGCAGCGGGGGAACAGGACGAGGAGGGGGAGCCAGCGGACAGGTGGAGACGGGCTTGAGGAGGGACACATGGAATGTGGGATGCACCCGCATGGTGGGGGGAAGTTCAGGCGATAGGTCACTGGGTTGACTCGCCGGACCACACTGAATGGCCCGACGAACCGGGGGGACAGCTTCCTGGACTCCACGCGGGGGAAAATCCCACGTGGAAGGCCACACCCTCTGTCCCGGGCGAAAGACCTTCCAGAACCTGGAGGCAAACTGAGAGCCACCCGATCCGACACCACATCTTGGGGAAGGCCATGGACCTGGAAAATATGCTGCACCATCAACTTAGCCGTCTCCCAGGCCGACGGGAGTTTGGGAAGGGGAATGAAGTGGGCAGCCTTCGAGAACCGGTCCACAACGACCATGATGACTGTGTATCCATCAGAGGGGGGTAGGGCGGAAATGATATCCAGCGAGATGTGGGACCAGGGGCACTTGGAGATAGGCAGGGGTCGGAGCAGCCCTGCTGCGGGCTGACGTGAGCTCTTCGTGCGCACGCACACCGAGCAAGCAGCCATGAAGGCGCGCGTATCCCCCTCAGCAGATGGCCACCAGAACCTCCTACACAGGAACTCCAACGTCCAGGCGTCCCCCAGATGGCTGGTGAGATCGGACGCGTGCGCCCACTGAAGCAGTCGTGAGCGCGCAGCCTTGGGTACGTACATCCTCCCCGATAGACAGCCGCCCGGATCGGGCTCCCGCTGTAGCGCTGCTCTGACCAGCCTATCGACTCCCCACGAAACTGGGGCAGCAATCAGGGCGTTGGGGACAATGGGGTCATCCCTCTCCACCAGGTCCACGGTATGAGATGGTGAACCGGAACCTGGTGAAGAACAACGCCCACCTGGCCTGGCACGAGTTGAGCCTCTTGGCCCCCTAGCTAAGTTCTTATGGTCAGTCCATACGACAAATGGATGGGCGGCCCCCTCTAGCCAATGCCTCCACTCCCCCAGGGCGAGCTTGACCGCTAGCAGCTCACGGTTCCCTACGTCGTAATTCCGCTCCGCCGGGGACAGCCGATGGGAGAAAAATGTGCAGGGGTGAGTCTTAACGCTGGGACAGGATTGCTCCGACCGCAACGTCTGAAGCATCGACCTCCACAATGAACGGCAGGGACGGATCAGGATGCCCGAGGACCGGGGCCGATGTAATGCACCGCTTCAGCGCATCAAATGCGTTCCCCGCTTCCAGGGTCCAGGTGAAGGAGCATACGCTCGTCTGGGTGAGGGCTGTCAGGGGAGCATTTAGGGAGCTAAAATTGCGAATTAATCGCCTATAAAAATTAGCGAACCCTAAAAACCGTTGTAGTTGCTTGAGCGATGAGGGCCAATGCAGTACCGCGCTGATCTTGGCTGGGTCCATCCGTAGGTCCTACTGGGTGACGATGAACCCCAGGAAGGAGACTGTCTCAGTGTGGAACACACACTTCTCCGCCTTGACGTAGAGCTGGTGACGGAGAAGGCGTTGGAGGACCTGCAGAACGTGCTGCTGGTGTTCACTCATGTCCTTCAAAATTATGAGGATATCATCCAAATACACGAAGACGCTGTAGTCGAGGAGGTCCCGGAGCACATCATTGACCAACACCTGGAACACCGCAGGTGCGTTGGCTAGACCAAACGGAATGACTTGGTACTCGTAATGCCCACTGGGTGTGTTAAACGTAGTCTTCCACTCGTCCACCTCCCAAATCCTCACCAGGTTGTAGGCATTACGTAAGTCCAGCTTGGTGAAGACCCGGGCTCCCTGCAACGACTCGAATGCCTTCGTCATCAGGGGGAGTGGGTAACGGTTCTTAACAGTGATGTTGTTGAGCGCCCGGTATTCAATGCACGGCCGCTGCCCACCGTCCTTTTTCCCCAATAAGAAGAAGCCCGCACCTGCGGGTGAGGTAGAGTGCCTCGTCGATATACTCCCTCATGGCCAGTGTCTCCGGCCGGGACATGATAAACAATCGCCCTCGTGTGGGAATGGCGCCCGGCAGGAGATCGATAGCACGGTCGTATGGCCTGTGAGGAGGTAGGCCCTTGGCACGCCTCTTACTAAACACCTCCCCCAGATCCCAATACTCCCGGGGAACGCCTGCCAGGTGTGGGCCGGTGACGGAGTCTGTAGCCGCCGTCCTCCCGGTGGCAACCACCGCTAGGGCAGTAGACGGTTCGGAGTGTGGGACCTGGGGAAGAGGTGAGGATTGGTAGGTGGTCTGGGACGGGGGTTTGGGCTGATGAGTGGTCGGTGGAGACCGGAACAGGACGGGGGCGGGCCTCCCTCTAGGATGAGCCGCCCAGTGGACCAGTCTATCCGGGGTTTGTGGGTGACCAGCCAGGGGTGCCCGAGGACGAGGGGACACTCCGGAGAGTCCACAATGAAAAACTGGATATCCTCCCATAGCCCCTCCCATAGCCCGGACACGCACGGTAACAGTGTAAAGGACGATCAGGGCGGCCTCCTCCCATCCTGCCTCTCGAGCCCGGGTTCGGAACTCCACATAGTAGTCCGCCACCGAACAGTCACCCTGCCGACAGGCCGTGAGCCGCCTCTCGGACCTCATGCCCCGACACCACCCGAGAGGTGTCGAACACCTTGGGTAGCTCCCGGGGGGGAATAGGTAGGAATCAGAGCACGCCGGAGTTTGGCTCTCCCACTCTGCGGTAGCCCAGGAAAGGGCCCGACCCGTCAACAGAGTGATAATGTAGGCCACCCGGTCCTACCCAGGGAACACTGGGTGAGGAATCTGGACGTCCATCGTACATCTCTGGAGGTGGTAGGCGGGGTTCCCGCGATGTCGCAGGCGAGACTGGAGACGCTGCGGCTTCCGCTCCGCCGGCTGCCGGTGCTGGTCGGGTGTCCACCCGGCTCTGCACGGCGATCGTCAGCTGGCGGAGACTCTCGGTGATCTGCTGCAGGCTGCGGTCGTGCTGGTTCAGCATGGCTCCCTGCGTTGCCAATGCGCTATGATACTGTGCTGCCTCCGCTGGGTCCATAGTGGCTCAGTTTTCTGTAAGGGTTGGTGTGAGGTGTGACCCAGGTGCGGTGCAGGATAGACAGTAGGCAGTAGGCAGAGATGGTGAAACAAGGAACTTTACTGATGGTCCCGAAGCCAGGATACAAAATAACGGACTTTACACGAAAAAGAAAGGTGGAGCGAATAAGACTCCAAAAAACAGGCAGACAGCCAAAAATACGACTATGACTGAAATAATAAATAAACAGGGAGAACACTTCTCACGTACCTGTCCATACGTCCCGCGATCAGACACTGATTAGTACTGCTTGGCATAGTGAAACTAGCAGAGAAAACTGAGCAAGGGAACACAGGGAAGTGAGGGCATAAATACACAGGTGAATCAGATAGACACAGGTGACACCAATAGGAAGATGATTAGTCCCGACTGTGAGTGAGGATGACACCTAGTGGGTCGCTCTGGAACTGCGACCCCCTCCTGTAACACAGGGCCACTATATAGTTCTATGTACTTTGTATTGTATTATAGGGCAGAGGGCTCTGGTCAAAAGTCGTGCACTATATAGGGAATAGGGGACCATTTCATACACAGGCAGTAACTTTGTGTTATCGTTGATTTAAAAAACAGCATGTTCTGCATGTTCTTGACTACAGTCTGACTACATTTTTTTTTTTTATCATGAAATAAATTAAATCAATCAATGAATCAATAAATGAATGAATCAGTTCACACCAGCATGGTGAGGTTGTAGGGCAGCCAGCACAGACAGAACACAGCAGTGACTAGTGCAGCCAGCTTGATGGCTCCCTGTTTCTCCAGGCTGCGCTGACCTCTCTGGCTATGGTGCAGGGTGACCACCACCGCAGTGTAGCAGTACGTCATGACCCCGAGAGGCAGGAAGAAACACAGCACATGGGTCAGGAGCCGCTCCTGGAACAGAGGTACAAATACATCCCTTAGTTTATTGAGTTCCCACTAGATTGAGACACCAGTGATCCATCCTAAATTGCACCCTATTCCCCATATAATGCACTACTTTTGACCACAGTCCTATGGGCACTAAATAGGGAATAGGGTGCCATTTGGGATGCAGCCAAGGAAATGCCTACGTACGTGGTTATTTGAAGACACCTACTGGCTAAGTCTGACAACTGCATCTGTTCTTTACATTTAACGGTCTAACTTCCTGTCTCTGGCAGAGAGATTCCATGCTATGCAGGAGAATGGGTTTCACCAGCTTGCGCTCCATCCAGGTCACACAAGCCAACAAAATAACTGGATCAGCGAAATTAAGTGTTGAGCCGTTTGAGGGGGACCCACCGTCAGATCCCAGTTGTTGGCATGGAGACCGTGACTGTGGAAGAAGCATGAGAGCTGTGCCGGGTCTATGGGACTCTCCCCTACAGACAGGAACACCGCGTTGGGGGCAGACAGGGCCAGACAGAGGAGCCACAGAGCCAGGCAGGTAAGGTGTATGTTCCTAGGGCGTCGGCTCTGGAGGCTGGGGATGGCGTGCACGATGGCCAGGTAACGGTCGAAGCCAATACACGCCAGGAGGAGACTCCCACAAAGGAAGTTGAGTCGGTTCAACAGCCCAATCAGCTTACACAGGACGTCTCCGAACACCACCCCTAAGGACACCTGTGCCAGTGCGAAGGGGAAGGTGGCTAGCAGCATCAGATCTGCCAGGCCCAGGTGTAACAGGTAGATCTCTGTGATCCTCAGGAGGCCGCGGCGTTTCAGCAGCACCGTCAACATCAGACCGTTACCTGGTGGAATATGACCCATAAGATATAACACATGAAGACCGTTACCAGGTGGAATATGAGCCATAAGATATAACACATGAAGACCGTTACCAGGTGGAATATGACCCATAATATATAACACATGAAGACCGTTACCAGGTGGAATATGAGCCATAAGATATAACACATGAAGACCGTTACCAGGTGGAATATGACCCATAAGATATAACACATGAAGACCGTTACCAGGTGGAATATGCGCGCGTGTGTGTGTGTGTGTGTGCGTGTGTGTGTGTGTGCACGTGCGTGTGTATGTGTGCGTGTGCGTGTGTGTGCACGTGCATGTGTGCGTGTGTATGTGTGCGTGCGTGTGCGCGTGTGTGTGTGCGTGTGTGTGCGTGTGTGCGTGTGTGTGTGTGTGTGTGTGCGTGCGTGCGTGTGCGCGTGTGCGTGTGCGTGTGTGTGTGTGTGTATGTGTGCGTGTGTATGTGTGCGTGCGTGCGTGTGCGCGTGTGCGTGTGCGTGTGTGTGTGTGTGTACCTGTCAGGCCCAGAAGGAACACCAGGCTGTAGACCAGGGGTTGGAACACAGTATGAAACAGCTGGAGACCTGCACTGTCATAACAGGTGTACTCAGTATCACTACTACTGTTGTTAGGACTCTCCAGCGGCTCTGAGTAGTTATCAAAGTCTAAGAAAAGGACCCCGTCCTCAAATGAAACCTGAAAAAGAGGTTGAAAATCATGTTTTGCTGGTGAAAGTGGTATTTATTTTGTATATTGATACATGTACTTTTACTTTACACCTCGCAGGTTGATGTCCTGATATCCTGTCAACGTCCATTGTAGCTCTTTGATGTTGTTTCAATATAAAATGTTTTGTGTCTTAATTGCTTTTAATTGGTGCGGACAAGTGTAGTGAATAGAGGTGGGAAAGCCCAGCAGTATAAAGGAGAGGACATCTGTGTATGTATTTCCTCTCTGAGGAGATGTAACACAAATAGACAGGAAATAGAGAGGAGAGCAGACCTTTTTCACTTCCTCTTACAGTAAGTAGTACATGGATCTGTGATTCTGTGATCAGGCATCTGTAACCAATTCACCCATCTGAGGATGCTATTCAATCAAACATGCATTGCTCTATGCTGTTGTTACGAAGTAGCCCTTTTTTTAGCCATGGTCAAAATCTAAGTGGTTCTTTGTACAGATTTTTTACAAATATTAATACAGGGATTTAAAACAGCATTTATTCTGTCAACACCATTACAATAAACGAACCAATTGAATATGACCGTTTCATTTCAATAGATTTAAATTTTCTGAAGTAATGGAATACAGTGCACCTTACTTTACATTTTAAAAAAATAACATTAAATGGAAAATGATATTTTTATCCTGTTAACACAAGAACCAGAACAACCAGATATGGTAAAACTACATTTTTGTCTCTGGAAGCAATCAGCACTTACAATAATAATGTGCTCAGACTTGCATGGATGTAATGCATTCAGTTAGCAAGACTCACCTCATCATAAGTCATTTTGGTGTTGCTATACTAAGTGCAGGTGACCCTGATGTGGTGTGTGTGTGTGTGTAATGCTAGATGGATTATATATACCCCCCCCCCCACCCCCCCCAAGAACTATTCAACCAATGCAGTACTCACTTCCTCAGTAGGCTTGTTTATGATGCTCCCATGAGTGATCTGATTGATTCCAGTGGACTTAAGTTTCATCATAAAGTTATGAGCTTTAAAATGCATTATTTTATTCCCTCATGTTCTCTAGATCAAGTAGAAGAGGAACCAATAAGGTGGTTAGCTGGAATTAATTGATGCAATGAGGGGGTTACGCATTAACATAATTGGGTAATTATTCAACTATGGTACTCTTTGAGCTAGACAGTTTCAGAAAATAAAAACATTTCTACAAACAATTTTTTAGTATCAGTTGGTTTCTCAATCTGTCTGGAAACCTTCCCTGAAGTTGGCTGTGATGATTTGTATTTACTAATATATATTTTTTGCCATTTTTATCTGACAGTCCAAGAAAACGGTCATTTCCATCACATAACAAAACATGTATTTTTAAGAGAAAATAATGAAATATCTTCTGTTATAAATATATTTGATTAAATAGCACACACATATCTGTTCAAATTTGTAATTTATTATTTTTTTCAGAAATGTAACTGTAAAGATTTTACAATGTTTACACTAAAAAACACCTAAAACTAGGTCAATGGAACATTTCATTTTCTTATCATAGCTCAAAATCATATATTTCTCAAAGTGTATACACAAATCTTAGCCCTAACTGCACAATTATCAACACCACTGAATATAGTTGGTTTGATTGTATGTTTTTTATATGTTTTACTTTAAAATATGTGTTGTGGTGGAAATGACATGGCGTGGCGGAAGAGACAGTGTGTGGCGGAAATGACAGATAGGCAACTTCCAATTAAAAACAATTTTTCTACTGCTCTATGTGGTGAACCAGAGCAAATCAATAAGCAACAGCATTTGTGAACAAAAACATATCACCAATATTTTTAAATTAAAAACAATCCAAAAAATGAAAAAACATGAATTTGTGTTAAAAATCAGCAAATCATTTCTTCACTGTTTTCTACATGCTGAACTAGAGCAAACTAGTACAAACTAGAGCAAACCCTTTATGTCATCATTACCTTAACATAACCTTAATATAACCAGTTGAATAACAGATAAAATAGGCAATATATTTTGAAATTGAAAACTTATATGCCTATGCTGAACCAGAGCAAACACTCTGTACTTAAACATTACTGTCATGTGTGTTATATCGTAAATCCATGTACTGTCAAACGTAATCATGTGGAATAACAAGTTGAATCTGACTAAATAGACATTGTATTTGCTAAATACTGTATCTGTCAAACTTGCATATGGGCCAGAGGTTCAGTTATGTTTCATGGTCAAGAACAGAGCATATTTCTTTCCAAACTGTTGGCTCCACCATCACATGCCTCTTTGTTACTGGTTGAGGCTCTGGGACCAGCCTGATCACATCTTCTGGCCGGTACCAAATAACATCGTCTCTCATAGGCCAGAATAACTTGTTTTTGCCAATATGACTCATGGTTCTCACCAGAGCACAACCCTCAGGGTCCACATCCTGTATAATGCCAGGGTAAGGATCCCCATCATACCGTACCACACACCAACTTCCAATCAGTCCCTCATGCAGGTCTATGATGGGTTGAGATGTGCTGGTAAGTGTGCTTGAACTTGGTGATCCCAATGCAGTCTCCATGTTCTGTGCTCCCAGTATGTTGACTTTTTTGAGACCAAAACACTGGCAAGGATGGGGATCTGCACAAAAGCAGCTGAGAACTCGCCAAGAAATCTCCTCCGGTCTTGTAGAGACAATCTAAAAGAACAAAGTGCATTTGAATACTGTGGAGATATAAATTGAAAAATGTTAAACTCTCATAACAAAAGTGACACGTGTGATACCTGATGTATCTGCATGGTTCCTTTGATGGTCAGCAGGTCATCAGGAAGGAGACTATCCATCTCTTCCATTTCCAACCTCAGTGATGTACATTAACTTGACAGTTGATGGCTGGTTAAGCAGTTGTTCATACAATACTTTTCCAGTTGGAAGGTCAATGCCCTTGGCCACAAGCGAGTCTGCTTGGCGCTTAACAGCCGCACCCCATCAGCTGGGCCCTTCCCATGTCCGGCCTCCAGAAAATTCCAGGTCACCCTTTTTGAATCCTAGCTCATATGGTACTTTGCTAAGGAAAAAAATGTTATTTTTTGACCTATACTGAGTGGTTGGGCCATCACTTATGACATGCAGGGTGGTTGCAGCTGTGTTTTTGTTGTTTGAGGTAGGGAAGCACTTTTTTGAGGTGAGCCCAGATTGCAGATGGGTCATGGCGCATTGAGGAACTAATGGTGCAAACAGACACAACACCATTCTTCGTGTGAGCCACACCAGTATGGAGGCTTACCTGCTGGTGGGAATCGCCAAAATGGACCGCTTGGATTTCATTGGAAAATTTGCACATGTAATTTTCTGCGAAGTCAATTTGTAGAACAATACTGTCTTCGTCAATCTTTTCTTTTAGTGCTTTCAAAGACAGATATTGGTGTTTTATGTTGTGAATGTGCTTTCCCATCTTTTTTTTCAGTTGGTCAGAAAAGTCATCCAAAAGTGTCTTCAAAGTCCCATATACTTTTTCCTTCGTTGTGTGGTGAACTTTAATCATTTCTTTGGAGCCGTCTTTTTTCTTTTTTTCTCTGTCCTCCACAGAGCTTCTCCATTCAAACCACCAGGTTTGCTCCCCAGCATCGAAGGCAGAGGTTTGGAGTTCATGGTCTTTACAATCCAGACACTCCCTGTACATGCATTCTTTTGTCACATTTTTGCATGTAACTGAATACATGAGATCGGTGACTTTGGACGTTTTAATGACTTTGTGAAAGAACAGTTTGTTTGCCATGAACTGTATGTTTGAGTGTAGCTTACACAGACATGTGTCTCTGTCTTTGATCGTTGGTTTAACAATCCAAAAGGGTCGCTTTTTGCAAAACTCTGCATAGGAGAGTCTGACTTCGGGATTCTCGTGTCTAAACTTCAGGTGCAGTGTCTGCATAGAATCCACCAGGAAGCGCTTTTGCATTTTATTTTTCATCTTTGTAATTGTCTCTTTCTTTCCAGTAGTGGCCCTACTGTTATCGTCGCGTTCTAAAAACTTTGTTATCTTTTCCTTCACTTCTTGGCTGACTCTGTTTCGTTGTGTTTTGCGGGTGTATTTGAGTTTGTCGGCCCTTGTCATGTTTGTCCTGATTAGTTTTGTAGAGAATCCAAACTCCTTCTTGGCCATGGTGACCAGGCGGTATTTTTTTAAGATCTTGCCAGCCACAAGTTTGGAGATCAGTTGCCGAGCTTTACGATTGTCAACATTCTGATACTTTTTTCTTATTTCTGACATAATGGTGTTATGGAATAGGAGTGTCTTCTTTAATTGCTTGCTTTCTTGCTGCATCTGTTGCTTTGTTTTCATTTTAGGTGACTCTAGGATCCCCAGGTTCTTCTTCAGTCGATTACTTATTTTTTTGTATTTTTCAACTTTTCTGAGGGCATCCTCAAGCTTTTGTTTAATGTCATTAAGATCTCTGTACACCTTTGCTTTTGCCTTCGCAACCTTTTTTCTCCCTCTTTTCCTCTGTGGAGTTCTCTCTGGTGTAGGCTCACACAGCTGAGGTGTTTCAGGGATGTCTTCTGCATTAACACTCATGTTGTCTGGTGATGGTGGTGGTGTTGTATGTGCCATGAAACTATTCACTGCTGAGACCATTTTCCATTTCCTACGTCTGTTTCGTTGAGAAATTCGCCACTGTCTTCTCATTTTTCGTTGTTCTCTTTTCGGCATTTCTGTCACAGATTTAACAACACCTTGTTGCTTTTTCTTCAGGTATCTTTCTCTGTCCTTCTTGAGGGACTCTGCATATTTAAGTGGATCTGATTTTATTCTTTCTCTGTATGATCTTGACCTCTGTGCTGTGGTATTGCTTGCCATCTTAAAGAAAGAGCCAAGACATCATGTCAAACCTACTTATCTATTGTTCTCTTATTTACCAACAATATTGTAATATTGTTAAAACTGTTTTTGAATTTAGTATCAGTATTATAGCCCAAATAATTTGCTGTTTAGCACGAACAATGTCATTTCCACCACAACCTGTCTTTACCACCACAATGAACACCGTGGTGGAAATGACTGTGGTGGAAATGACATTTCCCCACTTTCCCTCTAAAATCTCATGCTATGTTAGCCTGCTAATATTAGTTTTAGAGTTAGCATTAAATATACACAAATTACACATTATTAAATTAAATGTATCCAGTTATTTTTACGTCCATGTGAAATATGAGCTGTTTGGAAATGACGACCAATAAACATACTCTCAGTTTTACTCATATTTACCTTGATTTTTCTTCTTTTCATTACCCCCTGTAGAGGACACCATTTCATCCAGCCATGTGTTCCACTGTGGAGTTTCTGTTGCTATGGTTACTAAATATACAAACCCAAAACACTGATCCCAGGATTCTATTTTGTACAGTGTGGTGGAAATGACAGTGACCCCAAGGGACAAGGGTTCTATTTATGAAAAATATAGGAAAATGTGAATATGTATCACAATATATAATATATAGAATTGAAATAAATGGTATTTTATCATTTGTACTTGAAATCTACATTATTTAAATATTTAATTTAGAATTAAGCGAGGTTGAAGATACAAAGTCTGGCTTAGGGACAGAGGGAAAACAGTAAAAACCATGCATAAAAGGCCTCATATTATATAATAAAAAGAATGATTGAGCCATGATACATTTTTTATAAGTTCCCCTTAGGGTGGAGTAAGTATGACAAAAACAAAAAAGAAGAAATGTTTTTTAGTTTTTATTATTTCATCCAGGGACAAGAAAAGTACCATAGTTAAAGAATCACCCAATTACAGTGTTTAAACAATGTCTAGAATTTGCACAATTTAGATTTCCTTGGATTTGGGTTTTATATCCCTTGAACCATGAGCAATTCATCATGACTTATCATGCATGCATGTTCTTTGATTCACATATATATTTGAAATTTAAATAAAATAGCAGAAGTGCATTTTACTTGTGAGGTGCATATGCGTGGCAGAGGACAAACGAAAACACCTGTTACAGGCATGCAGCTTCAACTACATCTGAAGAAAGGGACAGCTAGGCTGTGATACTGGGAAGTATTTAGCTTGCTGAATATTGTGAAGAATGCGAATAATAGTTATTGTGCTGTGTACGTCTACATCTTTGCATGTGTAATAAAGACATGGGTTTTCCAGGTGATGAATCAGGTGATGGTGACGGGCAGTGGGAGGGCTGAAATAGGAGGGGAGGCCATCTTGGGCTTTCTGTTTAGACCCAACCGTAGCTTTACAAAGAACAGCTGGCAGCAGACAAGGCAAAAAACCAACAATCCGCGGTAACTCTTCACTTAATCCTCTCTTTGTAGACTACATTTTACCTCATGTACATGTACCGACCAGAGTTTCTATTTGGGGTGTTTTGGCGGCCGGGCGTATTTTATTTTTCCAATATTTTGTGTTCGTGGCGTCCGTTCTGGTCTTAACCTTCGCTAGCTAGATAGCTAACATTAGTTCGCTAACTAACTTGGGTAGCTACGTCGGGAACGCGACGTTTGTTTAAAACTTTTATCAGTTTTGTTTCCAAATGTGATATTTAGGTTGATTTTCCTCTAAATATCCACCTGGCATAAATACATATTGTTTTGTTGTTGTTGCCACGCCGCTAGGTAGCTAGTTATCAATCAAATCAATCAAATGTATTTATAAAGGCCTTTTTTACATCAGCAGATGTCACAAAATGTTTATACCGAAACGAAACCCAGCCTTAAACACCAAACCGCAAGTAATGCAGTTGTAGAAGCACGGTGGCTAGGAAAAACTCCCCAGTTAACGTTAGCTAGCTAGTTAGCCAAAGTCTGCTAACCGGTAGCTAGCTAGTTAGATACTAGCTCTAGCTAACGCGTTAATGGTGAACCACGTTTTGACAACATTTTGGGGTCTGTATGTGTACGGTTTAAATAAATGCATGCAGCAATTAGCTAACGTTAGTGAGACTAGTTACTAAACGCACAACTCCTAGTTGACTTGTAGCTGGCTAAACCGTAGGGCTAGCTTACAAACTAGCAACTAGTACTAGTTGTAACGCGTTAGTTGGCTACGTTAACTGACTAGCTAGAACACCTTCAAGTGCACCGCTGTGAACTGAATTTGATAACTAGCTAGCTACCTCACGACTTGTTTTTTTTAAACTGTTTATTTTTTGCATGAACAATGATTTGTTCCATGATAACGTGGCTAAACACTGACTGCCGTGTGTTCTCTACCTCAGGGTGAAGAGTCCTGGGGAGGGAAGGATTTAAGACAGTGTGACCATGCATCCTCTGACATAAGGCTCTACCTATGCTACGCCAAGCGGCAGTGTGACAGGAATACACCTGAGTTATTATTTTTTTGCTTGCTGTGTCAGACTCATTTTGTTGACATTTTTGATGTTCCACAAAGAACACTACTATTGAGGAACAGGAGAGGAGACAATTGTTTGTATCTAATTACATTTGCTTTGGATAACTGAGACCGTGAGAAGTCTCACTATTTCTCAAGATTTATTCCCCCCCCCCCCCCCCCCCCCCCCCACCACAGTCAGAATAAGAACTGTATCACACCCTTTGTGGAAAGGATAATTGACTAGCCCTAGCCATGAGTACCGCCAGTACCCAGAACCCAGTGATACTGGGCCTGTCCAACCAGAATGGCCAGCTCCGAGGACCGGTGGTGAAGCCTGCAGGAGGGGGTCATCAGACACAGCAACCCGGCCAGATGAAGCAGGCCTCCAGCACAATCAACAACGGCACTGGGCCTAGCAGCACCCAGCTGGCTAAAGTTACCCCCACAGCCAACACTGTCATCAAGTGAGTCCTAGTTCATTTACAGCGACCCAGTGGCTCTCAAGCATTCTCTTTTGGGAGTGTACTCATAACTCAACTCATCTTTTTCCACAGGGCTGGAGATGACTGGAAGAAGAATTTGACGCTCCCTCCAAAAGACATGAGGATGAGAACTTCGGTAAGGACATGTTCCCCTTTGAATCAGATGTAGGTTCAACTGTTGTAGGTACTGATGTGATCTAGTGTAAATGGCGTCAGTGTGCTAGCTTAGCATTTTGCGCTGCCTCCCTGAACCTGCCTCTGACAGGGTCTTATCTCTGCTACACTAGGGCAGTAGTAGTCAGGGTCTTATCTCTGCTATACTAGGGCAGTAGTAGTCAGGGTCTTATCTCTGCTACACTAGGGCAGTAGTAGTCAGGGTCTTATCTCTGCTACACTAGGGCAGTAGTAGTCAGGGTCTTATCTCTGCTACACTAGGGCAGTAGTAGTCAGGGTCTTATCTCTGCTACACTAGGGCGGTAGTAATCAGGGTCTTATCTCTGCTACACTAGGGCAGTAGTAGTCAGGGTCTTATCTCTGCTACACTAGGGCAGTAGTAGTCAGGGTCTTATCTCTGCTACACTAGGGCGGTAGTAGTCAGGGTCTTATCTCTGCTACACTAGGGCGGTAGTAGTCAGGGTCTTATCTCTGCTACACTAGGGCGGTAGTAGTCAGGGCCTTATCTCTGCTATACTAGGGCGGTAGTAGTCAGGGTCTTATCTCTGCTACACTAGGGCAGTAGTAGTCAGGGTATTATCTCTGCTACACTAGGGCGGTAGTAGTCAGGGTCTTATCTCTGCTATACTAGGGCGGTAGTAGTCAGGGTCTTATCTCTGCTACACTAGGGCAGTAGTAGTCAGGGTATTATCTCTGCTACACTAGGGCGGTAGTAGTCAGGGTATTATCTCTGCTACACTAGGGCGGTAGTAGTCAGGGTCTTATCTCTGCTATACTAGGGCGGTAGTAGTCAGGGTCTTATCTCTGCTACACTAGGGCAGTAGTAGTCAGGGTATTATCTCTGCTATACTAGGGCAGTAGTAGTCAGGGTCTTATCTCTGCTACACTAGGGCGGTAGTAGTCAGGGTCTTATCTCTGCTACACTAGGGCGGTAGTAGTCAGGGTCTTATCTCTGCTACACTAGGGCGGTAGTAGTCAGGGTCTTATCTCTGCTACACTAGGGCAGTAGTAGTCAGGGTCTTATCTCTGCTACACTAGGGCAGTAGTAGTCAGGGTATTATCTCTGCTATACTAGGGCAGTAGTAGTCAGGGTCTTATCTCTGCTACACTAGGGCAGTAGTAGTCAGGGTCTTATCTCTGCTACACTAGGGCGGTAGTAGTCAGGGTCTTATCTCTGCTATACTAGGGCGGTAGTAGTCAGGGTCTTATCTCTGCTATACTAGGGCGGTAGTAGTCAGGGTCTTATCTCTGCTACACTAGGGCGGTAGTAGTCAGGGTCTTATCTCTGCTACACTAGGGCGGTAGTAGTCAGGGTCTTATCTCTGCTATACTAGGGCAGTAGTAGTCAGGGTCTTATCTCTGCTATACTAGGGCAGTAGTAGTCAGGGTCTTATCTCTGCTACACTAGGGCGGTAGTAGTCAGGGCCTTATCTCTGCTATACTAGGGCGGTAGTAGTCAGGGTCTTATCTCTGCTACACTAGGGCAGTAGTAGTCAGGGTATTATCTCTGCTACACTAGGGCGGTAGTAGTCAGGGTCTTATCTCTGCTACACTAGGGCAGTAGTAGTCAGGGTCTTATCTCTGCTACACTAGGGCAGTAGTAGTCAGGGTATTATCTCTGCTACACTAGGGCGGTAGTAGTCAGGGTATTATCTCTGCTACACTAGGGCGGTAGTAGTCAGGGTCTTATCTCTGCTACACTAGGGCAGTAGTAGTCAGGGTCTTATCTCTGCTACACTAGGGCGGTAGTAGTCAGGGTCTTATCTCTGCTACACTAGGGCAGTAGTAGTCAGGGTATTATCTCTGCTATACTAGGGCAGTAGTAGTCAGGGTCTTATCTCTGCTACACTAGGGCAGTAGTAGTCAGGGTCTTATCTCTGCTACACTAGGGCAGTAGTAGTCAGGGTCTTATCTCTGCTACACTAGGGCAGTAGTAGTCAGGGTCTTATCTCTGCTACACTAGGGCAGTAGTAGTCAGGGTCTTATCTCTGCTATACTAGGGCAGTAGTAGTCAGGGTCTTATCTCTGCTACACTAGGGCAGTAGTAGTCGTCATTATAAGCCTCAAATGTTATGTTGATTCAATGTTGATCTGATGTACCACAGGACGTAACGGCAACTAAAGGCAATGAGTTTGAAGACTACTGCCTGAAGAGAGAGCTCCTGATGGGGATCTTTGAGATGGGCTGGGAGAAACCCTCTCCAATACAGGTACGTCCAGAGCTAATATGCTACTTAGCAGCTGCTTACAGTACACTGAATGCATAGTATGTTTTAGCCCTTGATCATGACTCAGTTCCGTTTCATTACACGGGTTATTGGACGACGACGGCGTCTTCTGTATGGGGGGGGGGAGGTTTTGTTAAGAGCGCCGATGCTCAATGTGAACATTAACACGTGTTGCTTTTGGTTCAGTTTTGGAAGCATAAGGAACTTATCTTTCATATCAGCAAAAAAAAAAAAAAAAAGGTAAAATTGATACACGCCTTGAGGGTTAGTGGTCCCATGTGGCCATATCCATGTTACAGGAAGACGAGGCGACCGCCTAGCAGGCTCCTAATACCTGTGTGTAAGCTTGACTCAGGAAGTGTAGTTTCTAGGATGGAGGCGCCCATATCTGGATGGATCTGGAACTGCTACACTAAGTATATTTTTATTTGAAGTATTCTTTCTCGCTGATTCTAAAGTTAAAAGGCCATATGTTTTGCAAGCGATGATTGATTGTTTCTAAAGGTTAAAACGCAGTGTCCGGATTGTAGTTCACGTGAGGTAGTCGTGGGCGACGCTAATGGCTGAACTGTAGGAAGGCAAAATGCTGCCTAGAGTTTGGGAGCTAAGTATGTATTAGATCTCTGATGGAATTAAACCCACGACCTTGGTGTTGCCTAGCGCTTTGCGCTTTCCGTCTGAGAAATGCCCCAGCTACCTGGTGCGGTTGTCAGACTACACAGCAGGGGGGGAGGGGAGGGGGGGGGGGGGGGGGGGGGTCAAAGCTGCTACTGTTCTTTTCTCCTTGGTGGTTAATTGGTTGATTTGAATGGAATGACACTTATTGGCCAAGAGATTCCAGTCAACTGGTGTCTCAGCAGAGGTCTGAATGAAGGGGAAGGATGACCACCAGCAAGGTGTAGAGGTTGGCGTTCCAATGGAACCCTATTCCCTATGTAGTTGTGTTATATATGTTAATTTTATATATACTTTTGACCATGGCACTAATATAGGTAATGAGATGCCATTTGGGAGTCAGTCAGACCTCAAGGCCCTGGGTTTCGATGGGATAACTAGACTAACGTGTTTCCTTCCTCTCCAGGAGGAGAGCATTCCCATAGCGTTGTCTGGGAGGGACATTCTGGCCAGGGCCAAGAACGGGACAGGAAAGAGCGGAGCCTACCTCATTCCCTTGCTGGAACGCATTGACCTGAAGAAGGACTGCATACAAGGTGAGACCGGACATCTCACCCTATGACCATTTTGTTTTTAAACAGAAGTAAGACGCTTCTGCGCACTTGGATCCATGCAGGTGTCAGTCATTACGTTGCCTTGCTTTCGGTCTCAGTAGAACTGAAAATGCTGATTTCTTAAAGTGCTCCCAACCTGCCTTCATTGTTGTGTGGGGGTGCTGTGCCCACCAGGGAGCTCGCCCTGTTAGGGGTGTGTTTTGTGAAAGTGCTACAGTACGCTGGTCAGTATATGACGTCTTTATAGTCTGATGTCCTACTCCAACCTGACTTCCATCTGTGTTCTGTGGTCCAGCTGTGGACGTGGTTCCACCAGAGAGCAGGCCTGCAGGCTAGCCTCTGTATGATACAATACAGTCCCTTCGGAAAGTATTAAGATCCCTTTACTTTTTCCACATTTTGTTAGGTTACAGCCTTATTCTAAAAATGTTTTCCCCTCAATCTACAGACAATACCCCATAATGACAAAGCAAAAACAGGTTTAGATATTTTTGCAAATGTATTAAAAATAAACAGGCCATATTTACCTAAGTATTCAAACCTTTTGCTATGAGACTCAAAATTGAGCTCCGGTGCATCCTGTTTCCATTGATCATCCTTGAGATGTTTCTGCAACTTGATTGGAGTCCACCTGTGGTAAATTCAATTGATTGGACATGATTTGGAAAGGCACACACCTGTCTATATAAGGTCCCACAGTTGACAGTGCATGTCAGAGCAAAACCAAGCCATGAGGCCGAAGGAATTGTCCGTAGAGCTCCGAGACAGGATTGTGTCGAGGCACAGATCTGGGGAAGGGTACCAAAACATTTCTGCAGCATTGAAGGTCCCCAAGAACACAGTGGCCTCCATCATTGTTAAATGGAAGACATTTGGAACCACGAAGACTCTTCCTAGAGCTGGCCGCCCGGCCAAACTGAGCAGTAGGGGGAGAAGGGCCTTGGTCAGGGAGGTGACCAAGAGCCCAATGGTCACTGACAGAGCTCCAGAGTTCCTCTGTAGAGATGGGAGAACCTTCCAGAAGGACAACCATCTCTGTGGCACTCCACCAATCAGGCCTTTATGGTAGTGGCCAGACGGAAGCCACTCCTCAGTAAAAGGCATATGACAGCCTGCTTGGAGTGTGCCAAAAGGCACCTAAAGGACTCTCAGACCACGAGAAACAAGATTCTCTGGTCTGATGAAACCAAGATTGAACTATCTGGCCTGAAATGCCAAGCGTCACGTCTGGAGGAAACCTGGCACCATTCCTACGGTGAAGCATGGTGGTGGCAGCATCATGCTGTGGGGATGTTTTTCAGCGGCAGGGACTGGGAGACTAGCCAGGATCGAGGCAAAGATGAACGGAGCAAGGTACAGAGATCCTTGATGAAAACCTTTTCCAGAGAGCTCAGGACCTCAGACTGGGGCGACGGTTTACCTTCCAACAGGACAACAACCCTAAGCACACAGCCAAGACAACGCAGGAGTGGCTTCAGGACAAGTCTCTGAATGTGCTTGAGTGGCTCAGCCAGAGCCTGGACTTGAACCCTATCGAACATCTCTGAAGAGACCTGAAAATAGCTGTGCAGCAACGCTCCCCATCCAACCTGACATAGCTTGAGGGGATCTGCAGACAATGTGAGAAACTCCCCAAATAAAGGTGTGCCAAGCTTGTAGCGTCATACCCAAGAAGACTTGAGGCTGTAATCAATTCCAAAGGTGCTTCAACAAAGTACTGAGTAAAGGGTCTGAATACTTCTATAAAATGTCTAAATACTTGTTTTTGCTTTGTCATTCATATCAAATCAAATTTTGTTGGTCACATACACGTGTTTAGAACATGTTATTGCGGGTGTAGCTAAATGCTTGTGCTTCTAGCTCCGACAGTGCAGTAATATCTAACAAGTAATATCTAACAATTTCTAACTCTAACTTATCCTCTGCAGCAGAGGTAACTCTGGGTCTTCCATTCCTGTGGCGTTCCTCATGAGAGCCAGTTTCATCATAGTACTTGATGGTTTTTGACTGCACTTGAAGAAACGTTAAAAGTTCTTGCATTTTTCCGTATTGACTGACCATGTCTTAAATTAATGATGGACTGTCGTTTCTCTTTGCTTATTTGAGCTGTTCTTGCCATAATATGGACTTGGTCTTTTACCAAATAGGGCTATCTTCTGTATACCACCCCTACCTTGTCACAACACAACTGATTGGCTGAAACGCATTAAGAAGGAAAGAAATTGCACAAATTAACTTTTAAGAAGGCACACCTGTTAATTGAAATGCATTCCAGGTGACTACCTCATGAAGCTGGTTGAGCGAATGCCAAGAGTGTGCAAAGCTGTCAAGGCAAAGGGTGGCTATTTGAAGAATCTCAAATATAAAATAGATTTGGATTTGTTTAACACTTTTTTGGTTACTACATTATTCCATATGTGTTATTTCATAGTTTTGATGTCTTCACTATTATTCGACAATGTAAACATAAAGAAAAACCCTTGAATGAGTAGGTGTTCTAAAACCTTTGACCTGTAGTGTACAGTGGCTTGCGAAAGTATTCACCCCCCTTGGCATTTTTCTTATTTTGTTGCCTTACAACCTGGAATTAAAATTGATTTTTGGGGGGTTTGTGTCATTTGATTTACACAACATGCCTACCACTTTGAAGGTGTGTCCAAACTTTTGACTGGTAGTGTACATATATGGACGAGCGACGTCAGAGCGTCATGGACTAAGATGCAGTAGAATAGTATAGAATACAGTATATACATATTAGATGAGTAATGCAAGATATCTAAACCTCTTTAAAGTGGCCAGTGATCTCTAGTCTGTCTATAGGCAGCAGCCTCTAATGTGCTAGTGATGGCTGTTTAACAGTCTGATGGCCTTGAGATAGAAGCGGTTTTTCAGTCTCGGTCCCAGCTTTGTTGCACCTGTACTGACCTCTGCTTCTGGATGACAGGCAGTGGCTCGGGTGGTTGATGTCCTTGATTATCTTTTTGGCCTTCCTGTGACTTCGGGTGCTGTAAGTGTCCTGGAGGGCGGGTAGTTTGCCCCTGGTAATGCGTTGTGCATATCGCACCACCCTCTGGAGAGCCTTGCGGTTGCGGGCGGTGCAGTTGCCATACCAGGCGGTGATACAGCCCGACAGGATGCTCTCAATTGTGTAACTGTAAAATGTTCAGTTTGTCTGTGATGTGTACCCCAAGGAACTTGAAGCGTTCAACCTTCTCCACTGCGGTCCCGTCAATGTGGATAGAGCGGTGCTCCCTCTGCTGTTTCCTGAAGTCCACGATCATCTCCTTTGTTTTGTTGACGTTCAGTTAGAGGTTATTTTCCTGGCACCACACTCACAGAGCCCTCACCTCCTCCCTGTAGGCTGTCTTGTCATTGTTGGTAATCAAGCCTATTACTGTTGTGTCATCTGCAAACTTGATGATTGAGTTGGAGGCATGCTTGGCTACGCAGTCATGGGTGAACAGGGAGTACAGGAGGGGGCTGAGCACGCACCCTTGTGGGGCCCCAGTGTTGAGGATCAACAAAGTAGAGATGTTGATTCCTACCTTCACCACCTCGGCACGGCCCGTCAGGAAGTCCAGGACCCAGTTGCGTTATGGGGTATTGTGTTTAGATTGCTGAGGATGTATTTATTTAATCAATTTTAGAATAAGGCTGTAACGTAACGAAATGTGGAAGAAAGTCAAGAGGTCTGAATACTTTCCGAAGGCGCTGTACATAGATCTAATCTGTGGTTCTCTCCTCCCCTAGCTATGGGCATCGTTCCCACCAGAGAACTGGCGTTGCAGGTCAGCCAGATCTGTATCCAGATCAGCAAACACATGGGAGGGGTCAAAGTCATGGCAACCACAGGTGGCACCAACCTCCGTGATGACATCATGAGGCTCGACGAGACAGGTACACATCACTTGGCCAAGAGGCAGTTTTGATTTAAACATGACTTTGGTGTTATTCAATGAACAAGTCATCTTGACTCAAGTCTCAAATGTACGGTGATGTTCGGCTTAGCTTTTCAATTGCATTATTCTTTGTAGTTCACCTTGTGATTTATTTTATAATAATTATAGTCTTTTGTCTCTAGTCCACGTTGTGATTGCCACCCCTGGGAGGATCCTGGACCTCATTAAGAAGGGTGTGGCCAAAGTCAATCAGGTTCAGATGATGGTTCTGGATGAGGTGAGGTGTTGTCTTGTTTAGTTAACCATGTACTAAGTTAGTTTAGTCTTGGATTCTCCTACACAGCTGTTACTGGTTACTTTACCTGTAGTTGGGCGAAGTTACAACTCAACCGTAGATCTATGATGTCCTTGTCTCTGTCCGTCCCCAGGCCGACAAGCTGCTGTCCCAGGACTTTGTAGTGATGATGGAGGAGGTGCTAAGCTACCTGCCCAAGCAGAGACAGATTCTGCTCTACTCTGCTACCTTCCCTCTCAGCGTGCAGAAGTTCATGGTACGTTCTGGAATCTGATTAGTGGGGCCATTGGGGTTGACTATCCTAGATCACAGTGAACAATGAAGGCCCCGTGTTGATTTATAAAGCCCTGCTGTATGTGCAGTAAAACTCTTGAGTGGTGCCGTTTTGACTCTGTAATAGAATATTAAAGGGCTTTCCAAGGTCTTGCTTTTGATATTTTTGTCTTAGTTTTAGATATTAATGGTGGACTGCAACATATACAGCGGGAGGTCTTACTGTTTACAAACAACAACAACAACGTAGTTGGCTCTTGATGATCCCCCTCATAACAGTCTGTGTGATGTGACGCTGTCTTCTCGTTCCCTGTGTGTCAGAACTCCCACCTGTCCAAGCCCTATGAGATCAACCTGATGGAGGAGCTGACCCTGAAGGGAGTCACCCAGTATTATGCCTACGTTACAGAGAGACAGAAGGTCCACTGTCTCAACACACTCTTCTCCAGGGTGAGTACTAGTTCCCTAACCCCTAGTTCCCTAACCCCTAGTTCCCTAACCCCTAGTACCCTGAAGGGAGTCACCCAGTATTACGCCTACGTTACAGAGAGACAGAAGGTCCACTGTCTCAACACACTCTTCTCCAGGGTGAGTACTAGTTCCCTAACCCCTAGTTCCCTAACCCCTAGTTCCCTAACCCCTAGTTCCCTAACCCCTAGTTCCCTGAAGGGAGTCACCCGGTATTACGTCTACATTACAGAGAGACAGAAGGTCCACTGTCTCAACACACTCTTCTCCAGGGTGAGTACTAGTTCCCTAACCCCTGGTTCCCTAACCCCTAGTACCCTGAAGGGAGTCACCCGGTATTACGTCTACATTACAGAGCAAAGATCCACTTTCTCAACACATTAACCCTAGCCCATCAACGGGCCCTAGCCCATCAACGGCCCCTAGCCCATCAACGGCCCCTAGCCCATCAACGGCCCCTAGCCCATCAACGGCCCCTAGCCCATCAACGGCCCCTAGCCCATCAACGGCCCCTAGTGCCCTAACCCCTATGTTACAAAGAGACAGAAGGTCCACTGTGTGTGGCTCCTGTGAAGTAGTGACGCGAGACATACGCCTAGTTTCCTTAAACGGGTCACATGTAAAGAGAAGATTAAATCAAGAATAGTCTGATGGGTGACAATATATAATTCAAAAGTGATAGGCTAATATTATCGCTAAGAAACCATGCCTTTTATTTGCGACATGTAGCCTAGCCCATAGGCCTATATGTTTTGATAAGGTTTGTATCACAACTGTGGCCAAATAACTTCTTTAAAATTATGCACATTAATCCGCTTTACAAGGGGTGTAGAGCCTAACTAGCATACATAAGCAGCGGGTGAGTTTCAAGTTTGGGGAAGATGGTTTTCACCATTAAATGCACCTTTATAATAAAAGCATTACATGCATAGTTGCATTTGTGGTCACTTTTGAATATGGTGTTTTCCGCTAATGGAACATTCTCGCTTATAGCCTGCTGCCGTGTGCGCATTGCTGCGCTCATAATGTGAAGAAATAGCTATTTTAGTTTTTTAAATTTGTAATACATTTGCAAACATTTCTAAACATTTTACATTTTAGTCATTTAGCAGACGCTCTTATCCAGAGCGAAATATAGTTAGTGAGTGCATACATTTTCATACTGGCCTCCCGTGGGAAACGAACCCACAACCCTGGCGTTGCAAGCGCCATGCTCTACCAACTGGGCTACACGGGACTGCAACCTGTTTTTGCTTTGTCATTATGGGGTATTGTGTGTGTGTGTGTGTGTGTGTGTGTATATTGAGGAAAACATTTCATTTAATCCATTTTAGAATTAAGGCTGTAAGAAAATGTGGGAAAAGTTATGGTTTGAATACTTTCCGTAAAGTAAATGTAATTGCTAACATATACTTAAGTATCAAAAGTACAAGTTTAAATCATTTCAAATTCCTTAAATTAAGCATGCCAGACGGCACCATTTTCTAGTTTATTTATTTACGGATAGCCAGGGGCACGCTCCAACACTCAGACATCATTTACAAAGCATGTGCTTAGTGAGTCTGCCCGATTTAGAGGCAGTAGGGATGATCAGGGATGTTCTCTTGATAAGTATGTGAATTGGACCATTTTCCTGTCCTGCTAAGCATTGAAAATGTAATGAGTGCTTTTGGGTGTCAGGGAAAATGTATGTAGTTAAAGTGTTCTTTTCTTTAGGAATGTAGTAAATTAAAAGTTGTCAAAAATATAAATAGTGAAGTACAGATGCCCCCAAACAAGTAGTTTACACCACTGCCTGTAGGCGACGGCATGGTGATGTTGGCAAGCCAAGCTCATGCGTAGAAACACGTTGGGTCTAACGGTTGTCTTGTGCTGAACTGCTACTGTGAAGGCTGTGAAATCAAAGGCACTCCTTCGATATAGTTGTTTTTCCTTCGATATAGTTGTTTTTCCTTCTAAATAGTTGTTTTTGACTCAAATAAAATGGTGTCAGTTTGTGTGCATCTCAATTTAATCCATTTTAAATTCAGGCTTTAACACAATGTGGAAAAATTCAAGGGGTATGAATACTTTCTGAAAGCACTGTGTATATACTATGTATCTATCTACTATACTGTGTATATACTATGTATCTATCTACTATACTGTGTATATACTATGTATGTCTATTAAATTATTCTCTTGTTTCCCCTCTCTCTCCATGCAGCTCCAGATCAACCAGTCTATAATCTTCTGTAACTCGTCTCAGAGGGTGGAGCTGCTGGCCAAGAAGATCTCCCAGCTGGGCTACTCGTGTTTCTACATCCATGCCAAGATGAGACAGGTCAGCCCAGGTCCTAGTGTGTCTCTGCTGCAGCTGACTATGCCTTGCATGCCTCCCAAATGGGACCCTATATAGGGCACTAATTTTGACCAGAGCCCTATGGGGAGTGCACTATTTAGGGAAAGGGTGCCATTTGGGATGCCCCCTAGCTGTTGACCAGATGTATGCGTCTGCTTGTTGACCTTTGGTTTATGCTCAGGGCAGATGAGATGGTTCAGATCAGGGCCCAGTCCTTCTGCTGGCCAGGGTCAGATCAGGGCCCAGTCCTTCTGTTGGCCAGGGTCAGATCAGGGCCCAGTCCTTCTGTTGGCCAGGGTCAGACCAGGGCCCAGTCTTTCTGTTGACCAGGGCCCAGTCTTTCTGTTGACCAGCGCCCAGTCTTTCTGTTGACCAGGGCCCAGTCTTTCTGTTGACCAGGGCCCAGTCTTTCTGTTGACCAGGGCCCAGTCTTTCTGTTGACCAGGGCCCAGTCCTTCTGTTGACCAGGGTCAGACTAGTGCCCAGTCTTTCTGTTGACCAGGGTCAGTCTAGTGCCCAGTCTTTCTGTTGACCAGGGTCAGACTAGTGCCCAGTCTTTCTGTTGACCAGGGTCAGACTAGTGCCCAGTCTTTCTGTTGACCAGGGTCAGACTAGTGCCCAGTCTTTCTGTTGACCAGGGTCAGACTAGTGCCCAGTCCTTCTGTTGACCAGGGCCCAGTCCTTCTGTTGACCAGGGTCCGTCTAGTGCCCAGTCCTTCTGTTGACCAGGGCCCAGTCCTTCTGTTGACCAGGGTCAGTCTAGTGCCCAGTCTTTCTGTTGACCAGGGTCAGTCTAGTGCCCAGTCTTTCTGTTGACCAGGGTCAGACTAGTGCCCAGTCTTTCTGTTGACCAGGGTCAGACTAGTGCCCAGTCCTTCTGTTGACCAGGGCCCAGTCCTTCTGTTGACCAGGGTCAGTCTAGTGCCCAGTCCTTCTGTTGACCAGGGCCCAGTCCTTCTGTTGACCAGGGTCAGACTAGTGCCCAGTCCTTCTGTTGACCAGGGCCCAGTCTTTCTGTTGACCAGGGCCCAGTCTTTCTGTTGACCAGGGCCCAGTCCTTCTGTTGACCAGGGTCAGTCTAGTGCCCAGTCCTTCTGTTGACCAGGGTCAGTCTAGTGCCCAGTCCTTCTGTTGACCAGGGCCCAGTCTTTCTGTTGACCAGGGCCCAGTCCTTCTGTTGGCCAGGGTCAGACTAGTGCCCAGTCCTTCTGTTGACCAGGGCCCAGTCTTTCTGTTGACCAGGGTCAGACTAGTGCCCAGTCCTTCTGTTGACCAGGGCCCTGTCCTTCTGTTGACCAGGGTCAGACTAGTGCCCAGTCCTTCTGTTGACCAGGGCCCAGTCCTTCTGTTGACCAGGGTCAGACTAGTGCCCAGTCCTTCTGTTGACCAGGGTCAGACTAGTGCCCAGTCCTTCTGTTGACCAGGGTCAGACTAGTGCCCAGTCCTTCTGTTGACCAGGGTCAGACTAGTGCCCAGTCCTTCTGTTGACCAGGGTCAGACTAGTGCCCAGTCCTTCTGTTGACCAGGGTCAGACCACGGCCCAGTCCTTCTGTTGACCAGGGTCAGACTAGTGCCCAGTCCTTCTGTTGACCAGGGTCAGACTAGTGCCCAGTCCTTCTGTTGACCAGGGTCAGACTAGGGCCCAGTCCTTCTGTTGACCAGGGTCAGACTAGTGCCCAGTCCTTCTGTTGACCAGGGTCAGACTAGTGCCCAGTCCTTCTGTTGACCAGGGTCAGACTAGTGCCCAGTCCTTCTGTTGACCAGGGTTTGTGTTGGTATGGGTTTTTATTAAGATAACACCCTGGAGAACAAGCCTTTCTTTGGACAAGTTTAGATGGTACCGGTCTTTCATTGTGTTTTGTGCCTACCCAACATGACCGTGGTTGAGTTACTCTGAAAACCACTAGTCTGCTTGTCTGTCTGTCTTTACAGGAACCACTAGTCTGCTTGTCTGTGTCTTTACAGGAACCACTAGTCTGCTTGTCTGTCTGTCTTTACAGGAACCACTAGTCTGCTTGTCTGTCTGTCTTTACATGAACCACTAGTCTGCTTGTCTGTCTGTCTTTACAGGAACCACTAGTCTGCTTGTCTGTCTGTCTTTACAGGAACCACTAGTCTGCTTGTCTGTCTGTCTTTACAGGAACCACTAGTCTGCTTGTCTCCGTCTTTACAGGAACCACTAGTCTGCTTGTCTCTGTCTTTACAGGAACCACTAGTCTGCTTGTCTGTGTCTTTACAGGAGCCACTAGTCTGCTTGTCTCTGTCTTTACAGGAACCACTAGTCTGCTTGTCTGTGTCTTTACAGGAACCACTAGTCTGCTTGTCTCTGTCTTTACAGGAACCACTAGTCTGCTTGTCTGTCTGTCTTTACAGGAGCCACTAGTCTGCTTGTCTGTCTGTCTTTACAGGAGCCACTAGTCTGCTTGTCTGTCTGTCTTTACAGGAACCACTAGTCTGCTTGTCTGTCTGTCTTTACAGGAGCCACTAGTCTGCTTGTCTGTCTGTCTGTCTTTACAGGAACCACTAGTCTGCTTGTCTGTGTCTTTACAGGAACCACTAGTCTGCTTGTCTCTGTCTTTACAGGAACCACTAGTCTGCTTGTCTGTCTGTCTTTACAGGAGCCACTAGTCTGCTTGTCTGTCTGTCTTTACAGGAGCCACTAGTCTGCTTGTCTGTCTGTCTTTACAGGAACCACTAGTCTGCTTGTCTGTCTGTCTTTACAGGAACCACTAGTCTGCTTGTCTCTGTCTTTACAGGAACCACTAGTCTGCTTGTCTGTCTGTCTTTACAGGAGCCACTAGTCTGCTTGTCTGTCTGTCTTTACAGGAGCCACTAGTCTGCTTGTCTGTCTGTCTTTACAGGAGCCACTAGTCTGCTTGTCTGTCTGTCTTTACATGAACCACTAGTCTGCTTGTCTGTCTGTCTTTACAGGAGCCACTAGTCTGCTTGTCTGTCTGTCTTTACAGGAACCACTAGTCTGCTTGTCTGTCTGTCTTTACAGGAACCACTAGTCTGCTTGTCTGTCTGTCTTTACAGGAACCACTAGTCTGCTTGTCTGTCTGTCTTTACAGGAACCACTAGTCTGCTTGTCTGTCTGTCTTTACAGGAACCACTAGTCTGCTTGTCTGTCTGTCTTTACAGGAGCCACTAGTCTGCTTGTCTGTCTGTCTTTACAGGAACCACTAGTCTGCTTGTCTGTCTGTCTTTACAGGAACCACTAGTCTGCTTGTCTGTCTTTACAGGAGCCACTAGTCTGCTTGTCTCTGTCTTTACAGGAACCACTAGTCTGCTTGTCTGTCTGTCTTTACAGGAGCCACTAGTCTGCTTGTCTGTCTGTCTTTACAGGAACCACTAGTCTGCTTGTCTCTGTCTTTACAGGAACCACTAGTCTGCTTGTCTGTGTCTTTACAGGAACCACTAGTCTGCTTGTCTGTCTGTCTTTACAGGAACCACTAGTCTGCTTGTCTCTGTCTTTACAGGAACCACTAGTCTGCTTGTCTGTCTGTCTTTACAGGAACCACTAGTCTGCTTGTCTGTCTTTACAGGAGCCACTAGTCTGCTTGTCTCTGTCTTTACAGGAACCACTAGTCTGCTTGTCTGTCTTTACAGGAACCACTAGTCTGCTTGTCTCTGTCTTTACAGGAACCACTAGTCTGCTTGTCTGTCTGTCTTTACAGGAGCCACTAGTCTGCTTGTCTGTCTGTCTTTACAGGAGCCACTAGTCTGCTTGTCTGTCTGTCTTTACAGGAGCCACTAGTCTGCTTGTCTGTGTCTTTACAGGAACCACTAGTCTGCTTGTCTGTCTGTCTTTACAGGAGCCACTAGTCTGCTTGTCTGTCTGTCTTTACAGGAACCACTAGTCTGCTTGTCTGTCTGTCTTTACAGGAACCACTAGTCTGCTTGTCTGTCTGTCTTTACAGGAACCACTAGTCTGCTTGTCTGTCTGTCTTTACAGGAACCACTAGTCTGCTTGTCTGTCTGTCTTTACAGGAACCACTAGTCTGCTTGTCTGTCTGTCTTTACATGAACCACTAGTCTGCTTGTCTGTGTCTTTACAGGAACCACTAGTCTGCTTGTCTGTCTGTCTTTACAGGAGCCACTAGTCTGCTTGTCTGTCTGTCTTTACAGGAACCACTAGTCTGCTTGTCTGTCTGTCTTTACAGGAACCACTAGTCTGCTTGTCTGTCTGTCTGTCTTTACAGGAGCCACTAGTCTGCTTGTCTGTCTGTCTTTACAGGAACCACTAGTCTGCTTGTCTGTCTGTCTTTACAGGAACCACTAGTCTGCTTGTCTGTCTGTCTTTACAGGAGCCACTAGTCTGCTTGTCTGTCTGTCTTTACAGGAACCACTAGTCTGCTTGTCTGTCTGTCTTTACAGGAACCACTAGTCTGCTTGTCTCTGTCTTTACAGGAACCACTAGTCTGCTTGTCTGTCTGTCTTTACAGGAACCACTAGTCTGCTTGTCTCTGTCTTTACAGGAACCACTAGTCTGCTTGTCTGTCTGTCTTTACAGGAGCCACTAGTCTGCTTGTCTGTCTGTCTTTACAGGAACCACTAGTCTGTCTGTCTGTCTTTACAGGAACCACTAGTCTGCTTGTCTCTGTCTTTACAGGAACCACTAGTCTGCTTGTCTGTCTGTCTTTACAGGAACCACTAGTCTGCTTGTCTGTCTGTCTTTACAGGAGCACCGTAACAGAGTGTTCCACGACTTCAGAAACAGCCTCTGCCGGAATCTGGTCTGCACAGACCTCTTCACAAGAGGTATCGACATTCAGGCTGTGAACGTGGTGATCAACTTTGACTTCCCCAAGCTGGGGGAGACGTACCTGCATCGCATCGGCAGATCTGGTGAGAACAACTGCCTTTCCTCAAGCAGGACTTGGTGGGTTCAATAATTTGGTGGGTTCAAATGTCATTGAAGAGGTTTCATCAGTTTGAACCTTGACCTCTCCCCGCTCAGGTCGTTTTGGCCACCTGGGTCTGGCCATCAACCTGATCACATACGACGACCGCTTCAATCTGAAGGGCATCGAGGAGCAGCTGGGAACAGAGATCAGGCCCATCCCCGGCAGCATAGACAAGAGCCTGTACGTTGCAGAGTACCACACCGAGGATGGAGAGGAGGGCAAGCTGTGAGGAGGAGCAGGTGAGATGGTTGCAACTATGGCACGGTCTCTTCAATCAAATGGATTTAATAATAGTTTTCAGAATGTCCTTCAAAAAAATATATAGTTTTAAACCCGCAAGCACGGCGGAGGGGGAAGCACTGTTTGGATATGACCAGTATTTATTTAACTGGACAAGTTCTTTTGAGGTTGAAATATATTTTATGAGGAATGCTTACAAAGTAAAGTCTGAGCTGCTTAACCTGTTCATGGGTTTGAGTTGAATTGGTTGTACTAACTAAAAGCAGGAGGAGAAATGGCTTGGTTAAATGTTTTGAGTGTACGTTTGTTTGACTAGTCCAAACTAAACACAACAACGTTACTTTTTATCTCCTCTGCAGATCAGATGAGACCCCAACCCCCCCGTCTGTCCCCTTCACCCCTCCCGTTTGATGTTTCCGCCTCCCTTCTGTCTCCTGGACTTTTTTTTGGATATCTAGCTTCCTGTCTGTCGGTCTTCCTTCCTGTTTTTGGGTGCCACCTCATGGAAAAGTGTACGATCTATGAGGGACAACAAACCTAGAGAGGAACTCATGATGTCCCTGTTGTAGGGTCTTCTCTCGGCTGCACCGCGATGCCCTGAAGACTACGACTACTGACTACTACAGCACTGGGAGGAGGAAGGCAGGGAACACGTAGAACACCCATCTATCCATGGAGATGGACGTGATGATTTAAATCTTCTCCTGCTCCAAGCTACCCTGTGCACTGCCAGCCAGCACAGCACCTACCTACCCCCTACCTACCCCTACCTACCTACCTACCCCTACCTACCCCCTACCTACCCCTACCTACCTACCTACCCCTACCTACCCCCTACCTACCCCTACCCCTACCTACCTACCCCTACCTACCTACCCCCTACCTACCCCCTACCTACCCCCTACCTACCCCTACCTACCTACCTACCCCTACCTACCCCCTACCTACCCCTACCTACCTACCCCTACCTACCTACCCCTACCTTTCTACCTACCTTACCCCCTCCCTAACAACCTTACCCCCTCTACCTACCTACCCCTACCTACCCCTACCTACCTACCCCTACCTACCTACCCCTACCTACCCCCTACCTACCCCTACCTACCTACCCCTACCTACCTACCCCTACCTTTCTACCTACCTTACCCCCCTCTACCTACCTACCCCTACCTACCCCCTACCTACCACCTACCTACCCCCTACCTACCCCCTACCTTTCTACCTACCTTACCCCCCTCCCTAACAACCTTACCCCCTCTACCTACCTACCCCTACCTACCCCTACCTACCCCCTACCTACCACCTACCTACCCCCTACCTTTCTACCTACCTTACCCCCTCCCTAACAACCTTACCCCCTCTACCTACCTACCTACCTCATCCCAGCCAGCCCAGCACCTCATTTCTCCACCTCTTTTTTATTTCAACCTTTTGTTTTTAGCTCTTTGTATGAAGTGCCTTTAACAAGCAGCTGAACTTGTTCTGAAGTAATAACCCGTTCTACTCCGTCTAGTCTCTGTGGAAACATCCATCCACGGTGTTACTCATCACTTAACATCAGTTTATCTTCCACACTTTTGAATCAACACCCATCCTACCACTTCTGATGTTCGATAAGACACATTGCATTAAGGCATCAAGTCTTAGGCCATTTTTCTATGGGTGGATGATGCATGTTCTGCTGCTGGCTTGGCTGCAGTGCACCAGAATATTGACTACTATATGAAGATAAAACCAAGGTGGAGACCCCCCCCCTGGATGAAGTTCATAGATGAAGGAGCAGGATGTTTAGTGGCTCTTATTAAAGGCATTCAGAGACTTGTCTGTCTGGCCGTGTATTCTCTTGTTCCAGAGTGTAGACTAGCTCCTCAAGGCCCCGACTTTCCTCCTCCTCAAACTTCACAATCAGAACACTAAGAACTGATCTATTCTAGAACTCTGGGCAGCCAATCGAACGTGGAGTAGCTCCACCCTCCTGGAGTCTCCAGGATTCCTTCCTGTTCCGGAGGACTTACCTACCTACCGTACGAAGCAAAGGAGAAGAAATGGGTGTTGTCCCGTTGCAGTTTCACGTTCCTCTGGATGGTCAGTTGGTCGATACACTTTATTGTCCTGGATGTGGCACCGCTAAACCATCTGGCACACTGTACACTCTGTATATACTTTGTTTCATTTTTAAAAGATTGTTTTAAAACAAGTTTAAAAGGCTGGTTGATATGTTGAGGATGATGCTGTGAGATGAAGCATCTTTTAGGTTTTGGATCTTGGTCAGCACTGGAGGAGCTGTTTTTCATTTCCTTTACCCGACAAAACCCCTCGACTGAATGAGCTGCAACGATGGCCTATTAGTGAGTGGATTTCTGATTTTTAGAAGAGCAGGTCAGTGTTCATCCAGTCTGGATGTAGGCTACACCCATTTAATCATCACTCTGTGTGCATGATGCTTTAGCCAAGCACGGATTCAACTACAGTTTTCCCCCTAGAAATGTGATAATCAATGCAAATTGTTCAGACCTGTACTTTTCGTTTAGGTTGTTTAAATAATATCCCTCTATTTTCCTTGGTGTTTGACCAGACGTCCCTCTAAGACAGGTGGTTATACCGGCCACAGCGGCGTACCGCGTTAGTGTGTTTGACCAGACGTCCCTCTAAGACAGGTGGTTATACCGGCCACAGCGGCGTACCGCGTTAGTTTGATCACCAGCCTTGTTGTACTGACTCAACAAGCCACTCCCCACAATCCCTGCAAAGAGAGTGACTGTTGTTATTATTAAAAAGGTAAATGTAATATTCTATCATGTAGTTTAAGCTACTTGCTGCAGTGCAGCTCAAATTGGCTATGGGGAGATGTATATGAATGGGGGATCTAATCTACTCTTTAGCTGTTGGTCCGTTGTATGACGCCTTGGGCACTGGGACGTCACTATAGCCGCAGGGATTGGAACAATTGTACTTTTTAGCTTTCTAACCTTACAAAGCAACTTGATCTATCTGAACAAAACCATCAGACCCCAAATGTAGCAGGAAAAGGTGTTTCAGTGCATCACACGAGTCAGCTGAAGAACTATGAAACCAGTTTCTACAGTATGACGTAAAATCCTTCAGTAGTGTGGACGGGCTGCATTTCAGTGTAGTCTTGACTTTTTGTTATTATGGTGACAGTCGGTTAACAGGCCAACACTGACTCACTGCACTGAAACCAGCCTGATGGACAGAAGACGTCCTTAGTGTGTTTAATTGTTGTGGCTGGGAGGATAATAGACTTGCAGTTTTGGGAGGGGTGTATTAAAAGTTATTGCCCTCTTTGCGCCAGAGTTTGGTGAAGATCCCTGTCTGGGCCTAGCTAGGGCTCAGAAAGCCTTGAAGGATTTCTGATGTTGTAGGGCCACGTCATGGGCTCGGGGAGATAATAGAGCTTTATGCCACTCCATCTAGGGGTGTCTTCTGGCCCTGGGGTGGGAGGAGGGTGGGATTGGGGAGGAGGGTGGGATTGGGAAGAGGGTGGGATTGGGAGGAGGGTGGGGGGGGGGGGAGGGGGGGGGGTTGTTATAGCTCTTGGTATTGTCATTTGTAAACTTTCCCCCAGAACAATCTCTGAACAGTCTGTCCACTAGGTTGTGGTTAGCTGGTAAAGGTTGCTTTGGGGATCCCTTAGAAATACAAGATGGTGAGATGCTCTTTCTGTTTTGGTTCTGTTCCAATGAGAAATATTATATTTACCAAATGGTTGATCTATAGATGTGTGTATCTACATGCTGTTTGTTGTCCAAACCATCTGTTTAACTACAGTGTTGTGGGAGGAAGTAACTATGCCATTCTGGTTTCTCATTGGTCAGGACTGTGACCCCTGTTTTCTCTGTCTATTGTAGCTCCAGAATAATCACATCTAGCCTTGGGATGATTTTTAAGGGTTATTAAAAGGGGGTTAAATGAAATGTCCGACTGTAGACGAGAGAACAGGGGTCAAATCCACAGGCACTTTGGCAGCTGCCTGTTTTTCTAATTTAGTTTTCAGCCCCACTGGCAGCGGTAGACACAGCCCCGTCCCCTAGCCTATCACCTGGCTGTTCCTACGTAGTGCACAAACCATAGGGCCTCTGGTGAAATGTAGTGCACTACATAGAGAATGGGGTGCTATTTGGGAAGCAGCCTCTGACGCGCTCTCATTTTAACATTACTGTTCTGTGATTGGCTGTGGCTGTCCCTCCCAGTGGAGTGGGGTTTCTGGTCTTGAAGAACGAGATGAGGAGCGTCTTGCCCTTTTTTTTTTTTTTAGATTGATTTCAATTGGATATAAATCATATACCATGAAATTGTCTCGTTCTTCAAGGGTTTTATTTTGGGTTGGGGGTGGGAGGGTTATTATTAGCTGCCCTGCTGCGTCTGTTCCACCTCCCTTGACGTGTGCAACACCACGGCCCCCTCCAGAATCAACCCGTACCCCCTCGGCACTAGCCTGGTTTCCGGTCTGTGGCGTGATGAGTAGGCCAGGGCAGAAACAACAGCTCTGGGACCAGGCTACCTCTACACAGGTGCAGGTCTGACATGGGCTACTGCTACAGTACTTCAATCTAAATCATTGTGTCAGATGTACACCTAGGAGGCAGCCAGGGATTTGGTTCTGGACAGGGCTGTACACTGTTGGAAATGTTGGCTTGTAAGATCACTAGCCTGTCGGGGAGGGTTGGAGAGGAGACCTTAATTGAGTCCCAAATAGCACCCTATTCCCTATATAGTTCACTACTTATGACCAGAGCCCTATGGGCGTCCCTGTGGGCTCTGGTCTAAAGTCGTGCTCTATATAGGGAATAGGGTGCCATTTGGATGCAATGGCGATCTCTCTGAATAGATGTATCAGTTTTACTTCAGGGGTGGGATGGGGGATCCAGGGGAGGTCTTATGTTAGGATACTAAAACGATCAGAATATCCACAAGCAAGGTTCTGGGTAGAAAACTTGTTTCATGAAACTATTCCCTTACATTTTGACCGTCTTTTCTTTTGTAACTATATCAGTTGGAGTAGTTAAATTCAAAACCAAATTTAAGTGGAAAAAAAGCATTGTTTAATTTTTTTGAATTGGCTATTTCTCAGTGAAGCTTGTGTTTAAAAAAAGAAAAGAAAACAGGGTTCTGGGTTGTGGACGTCCTGATGGTTCAAATCAGAAATGACACTTTTTGTTCAAAAATAAAGCTCACTGAAATTCCTCTGTTTCCTGTTCTTTTTATTTTCTTAAAGGAATACTTTGGGATTTTGGTAACTAAGCCCTTGATGTACTTTCCCAGAGTCAGGTGAACTTGTGGATACCATTTCTAAAAATGGTGTCCACGAGTTCTCCTGACTCTGGGGAAGTACATCAAGGGCCTCATTGCCAAAATCCCGAAGTATCACTTTAATCTACTGATTTGTTTCAATTAACTTCTACAATTTAGTTATGAAAGTAGTATTTTCTCTTGAAACTGGTGAGAATCATGACTGGTTGTCCCAATATGCACCCTATTCCCTATATAGTGCGCTACTTTTGACCTTGACCTATGATATAAAGGTTATTGTAAACACTGCCTTAAGAGGGACGCTACTTTGAAGGGCTAGTAGTGATTAACCACAACTCATTGCTGTGTCCCAAATGGCACCCTATTCCCTACATGTAGTGCACTAGTTTTGACCAGAGCCTTATGGGTCCTGCACTATATAGGGTGTCATTTGGAACTGGTACTGAGCGATAAACCGAAATGTATATATTTTTTAAAACTAATTGACCAACCGCAGTTCAATGATTTGAATTCCATTTCGTTCTGGTTTTTTTCTGTGCGCTCAATGCGCAGTTTCTCTAGATCAAGCCCTAACTCTGATGATCTGACTGATTGATAGTTGGTATTCAGCAGTCATTAAAGTCTGCCTTATTTACTTTGAAGAACCACTAAAATAGTGATTTAGTCAGACAGCACAGGCAGCAGCTCTATAGAGATGAGATGATGACTTGGAATGAAATAATAAAGTCATCAAATAAAACTAATGCACTGTACACTGAAATATTTTATTAAAGTGTTGTGATTAAATGATGGTTACGTGACGAGCAGTAATGGGCAGTAACTACCATCATGGGACTTATTGTTTTATTCTGTTTTACAGCGTTCAACCTACATAAATCATTGTGCATTTTTAATGTTAAAAAAAAATATCAAAATCTGTAATTATTTAGTAATTTAACTGAATCTGAACCGACCTCAAAAAGCACTAATCACTCTGCACCATTTGGGACAGGACAGCTTTAATTGTTATTCCTTCTTTCAATTGGATGGATAATGTGTTACGATCACAATATGCACTTTGACCTGTATGTAATTGTAGATAACGGCCAGTGCTCCTCGCCCTTTGCTTTGAGTTTCCTTCTGAACATGAGAGCAGGGCTCCTAGCAGCAGTGATGTGTTTGTGGACCTGTCTCGTGTTGTTCCTCTGTCCTCTCTACAGGTGTACCTTGCTTCCACCTTGTGACAGGTAACATTGTTTTGCTACATTGACTTTTGGGTGTTATGAATCTATTATGAATGATCTTGAACCATGCTGCTCTGTTTCAAAGCTGAACTTTGGTTCTTGGGGAAGTGTGTTAATGGCTCAGGGTTGATGCAATGTGTTCTGATGGAGCTCAGCAAAATGTCTTAAGTCAAGTTGGATTTGCTCTATTCAAAGAGGTTTTAACACACATGGACCTTAGAAATTGGACTTGTTTGGGATTTGAAATGCACTTTAAATAAAGTTAGATTTATTACTGTAATATAGGTTTGATGCTATTTCATGGGTATTGTTTATCTGTCATCCAGATAACCGTATTTAATGATTAACTCCTCAGTGAGATCTACTGTTATGGGGACATCCTAAGGCAGGTTCAGACCGCCAAACTGTTTGACGATGACAAGTACTTTGTGGATATGAAGCTGAAGTCGGCCCCTGGTAAGTCTTGTAAGGAAATCATTTAGCCACAGGGTAAGTCTTGTAGGGGAATCAGTCATCCTCTGGTAAGTCTTGCAGGGGAACCAGTCATCCTCTGGTAAGTCTTGTAGGGGAATCAGTCAGCCCCTAGTAAGTCTTGCAGGGGAATCAGTCATCCTCTGGTAAGTCTTGCAGGGGAACCAGTCATCCTCTGGTAAGTCTTGTAGGGGAATCAGTCAGCCCCTGGTAAGTCTTGCAGGGGAACCAGTCATCCTCTGGTAAGTCTTGTAGGGGAATCAGTCAGCCCCTAGTATGTCTTGCAGGGGAATCAGTCATCCTCTGGTAAGTCTTGCAGGGGAATCAGTCATCCTCTGGTAAGTCTTGTAGGGGAATCAGTCCCAACAAAGGCTTTCTGCCTCCCATGTCAGCTTTTTCTTTGCGCGAGGTCTTGGGCCGTATGTATCAAGCGTCTCAGGAGGAGTGCTGATAAAGGATCAGTTTGAACTTTTAGACTTTCGAACCCTTTAAGGAAGTATTGTGTGACCGAAAAGCATGAAATCAAATCAATAAATAAAACGGATGACGGGGGGAGGGGGGGGGTCCTGGGCCCTGGGCCCATATTCATTAAGTATCTGAGTAGGAGCACTGGTCTAGGATCATGTCCCCCCTATCCATGGAATGATATAAAAGTCTCTCCACACACCTAATCAGAAGCCAATTCCATTTCAGTCCATTGAGGAAGTAAAGTGAAAATGTCTGTTTATTTTCTGTATTGAAATGGAATTGACCCCAACCCTGCACCTCACCTCATACCCTCAGATATTGTCCTGACAGCGTTTCACAACCTGACACACGGAGCTCCTAACACAACTCTCCTGCCTTCCACACTGAGAGAGTTCCTTCGCGAGTACTTTGAAGAACCAGGGACGGAGTTTGAGCCATGGTCCCCACCCGACTGGCATGACAAGTGAGAAAGAGCCAATCATTCTGATTGATCCTGACCAAACTGAGGTGTGAGATATTTTGTGCATCCCAAATGGCTCTCTGTTCCCTAAAAGTAGTGCACTCTGCAGGGAGTAGGGTGCCGTTTCGGATGCATAAATGTAGTATGTTCTGTCCAGTACAAGGCATGTTCTGTGTGCAGGCCACAGTTCCTGAATAGAATAGCAGACTCAGAACTGCGCAGCTGGGCCGAGAAGCTGCATCATTTGTGGAAGTCTCTTGGGAGAAAGGTATGCACACTGGCTATGGCTATGGCCTTTTATTCATTCGATTTTGCTCACTTCCTGTGTCCTCTCTCGCCACCACTTGGAAAAAAGGTCAAAGTTAATCGAGGGGAGTGATACACTGCTAAGATGCGTGTCTCTCCTTGATGAGCAGAATTTGTCCGCAGAGCCGTCGTGTGTTCTGTATGGAGGGATATGGTTCTGATATACCTTGGAAACTATGTAGAACTAACGTCTGGCTGCAAAGAGCTACGTAGAACTAACGTCTGGCTGCAAAGAGCTACGTAGAACTAACGTCTGGCTGCAAAGCGCTACGTAGAACTAACGTCTGGCTGCAAAGAGCCTACGGCTGCCATTGTTGTTTGTCTACATCCTCAGCATCCTTCTGAACACACCAAAGATGGTGGATAAATGAAGATGGTTCACTCGCCGTTTAAAAAAAGGTAATTTCCGGTCTACTTAACTAGACGTGTCTCCTATAGACACCAGTACAATAGCAGCTGGGTCTGGGCTACTTCTTAGTTCATTAACTTTCATCAACGATTATGGCTACACTGACAAGATACATGTCTCTCTGCCCAAGAATGAGGAGTCGTTGTCCACAAAGCGGCACAGGCGGGCTGTCTAGCTCCCGCCTCTTTGGATTGGTGGATACATCTCATTATTGTAATCCTTTTCTGAATATGCGATGAGGGTTGTTGAAGTCAACCGCCTGTATTGAAAGGAGAGCGACTCAATGCTACTAGCCTCATGCTCTGAATATGCATAGCTATCTGGAGAAAACTCTGATATAAAGTGTTTTTTCTCTGTGGCTGGGATGTCACCTGTACTACTTATATCAGTACACTAATAACAACTTAAGTGTTACCAAACTTCTATTAGATCAAATAAACCTCACGTAGCAAATAAGACATTCATTTTTTGGTTGACCAAATTCAACAGTCATTGACCTCGATGTAAATACTCCTTGCTTGGTGGGCGAAACAACAAGACACCACCTGCTGGAGGGAGACGGAGTTCTCTCTTATTGACCAATGGGAGACGGAGTTCTCTCTTATTGACCAATAGGAGACAGAGTTCTATTTACCTTTGACCTTTTTCAAAAGGAGGATAGAGCAAATCTAATTGAGAAAAGACCCAAGTCTCTAGAATCAGTCCATCTCTGGTCAGCCATATGTATCTACATGGCTGTGATGAAACAGCCTAGTGGCCCAATCTGGGGCTCCTCATACGTTTTGTATTCTACGAAGTGTTTTCAAGGTTTGATACTTCTGTAGTGTACTTTGGTAAAATATGACGTGGCAGTCAACAATGATGAAATGTGTGTGTGTGTGTACCGGGGCAGTGCTAATGTGAAATCAATTGTGTGTGTTTACCAGATCAGTGGTGATGTTTTGGCCCACCCAGAACAGTACTCTCAGATCTTCACCCCCCACCCAGTCATCGTACCCGGAGGACGTTTCAGGGAACTGTACTACTGGTCAGTGAAGCTGTCACTGTCTGGACTGCTCTCCGTTGTTCTGCTCTGTCTGCATAGCAGACCTTGGTTCAAATACTATTTCAAATCATTTCAAATACTGTATCTGGGCTTGATTGAGCTTGCCTGGTGCAATGGAACTAATGGAATAGTTGTAAAAAGTCCAACTCAGCCCATCTGGCTCCCCAGGGAGACTAAAGCAGACATTGAAAGTATTGAATTTGAAGTGGATTTCAACCTATGCCTGCTGCACAGGGAGGTAGGCTGAGGAACCCTTCTGGCCAAAAGATGCTGCTGGGTTGTACGTAAATGAATGATTGAAACGTGTCCATTTGGAGTGCTCTCCTGTCCATTTGGAGTGCTCTCCTGTCCATTTTGGAGTGCTCTCCTGTCCATTTGGAGTGCTCTCCTGTCCATTTTGGAGTGCTCTCCTGTCCATTTCATTGTCTATATGTTTGGAGTCATCCAGGGTTTTGAGCTGGGCAGGTAACAGCCAGAGCCACAGGCAGGTAACCATCCAGGCCACAGGCAGGTAACCATCCAGGCCACAGGCAGGTAACCATCCAGGCCACAGGCAGGTAACCATCCAGGCCTACCAAAGGGCTAGACAGACTGAGCAGGGCAGGGGTCTAACTACTGATGACCCTCTATGGGGACAGACTGGGCAGGGCAGGGGTCTGACTACTGATGACCCTCTATGGGGACAGACTGGGCAGAGCAGGGGTCTAACTACTGATGACCCTCTATGGGGACAGACTGGGCAGAGCAGGGGTCTAACTACTGATTAACCCTCTATGGGGACAGACTGGGCAGAGCAGGGGTCTGACTACTGATTAACCCTCTATGGGGACAGACTGGGCAGAGCAGGGGTCTGACTACTGATGAACCTCTATGGGGACAGACTGGGCAGAGCAGGGGTCTAACTACTGATGACCCTCTATGGGGACAGACTGGACAGGGCAGGGGTCTGACTACTGATGACCCTCTATGGGGACAGACTGGGCAGAGCAGGGGTCTGACTCCAGGGGGCAGACAGACAGACATATAACCCAGGGCAGACAGGCCTGTTCAGTCAGAGATCTTACCGCTCAGAGCCCTCCAGTGTGTATTATTACCAGGGACAGTGAGGCAGATCTGCTCTCTGTTCCTCTCAGGGACTCCTACTGGGTGATCAATGGTCTCCTGCTATCTGAGATGACAGACACCGCTCGTGGGATGATCCTCAACTTCGTCCACCTCATCAACCGGTGAGCTGCACCTGCTGTCTGTCTGTCTGTCCGTCATGTCTGTCTGTCTCTCTCCATCCGTCCGTCTGCCCGTCATGTCTGTCAGTCTCTCTCCATCCGTCCGTCTGCCCGTCATGTCTGTCCGTCTCTCTCCATCCGTCCGTCTGCCCGTCATGTCTGTCCGTCTCTCTCCATCCGTCCGTCTGCCCGTCATGTCTGTCCGTCTCTCCCCATCCGTCCATCTGCCCGTCATGTCTGCTCACCACCACCAGAGGTAGGTTATGCCATTAAGTTATGAATATTAAGCGCCTGGACACCCTACTGTCAGACTACTGAATCTCTGGTTGGCTCAGGGACAGCCATTAGCAATGTAGTTAGATGTCCAGGAGAATATACAGTGCATTCGGAAAGTATTCAGACCCCTTGACTTTTTCCACGTTTTGTCACGTTACAGCCTTATTCTAAAATTGATTAAATAAAACATTTCCTCATCAATCTACACACAGTACCCCATAATGACAAAGCAAATACAGGTGTTTAGAAATTTTTGCAAATGTATTAAAAAGAAAAAACTGAAACTTTATTTACTTAAGTATTCAGACCCTTTGCTATGAGACTCGAAATTGAGCTCAGGTGCATCCTGTTTCCATTGATCATCCTTGAGATGTTTCTACAACTTGATTGAGTCCACCTGTGGTAAATTAAATTGATTGGACATGATTTGGAAAGGCACACACCTGTCTATATAAGGTCCCACAGTTGACAGTGCATGTCAGAGCAAAAACCAAGCCATGAGATCGAAGGAATTGTCCGTAGAGCTCCGAGACAGGATTGTGTCGAGGCACAGATCTGGGGAAGGGGTACCAAAAAATGTATTCAGCATTGAAGGTCCTCAAGAACACAGTGGCCTCCATCATTGTTAAATGGAAGAAGTTTGGAACCACCAAGGTTCTCCATCTCCACAGAGGAGCCCTGTCAGCTCTCTGCAGCCCTCCATCAATCAGGCATTTTATTTAAATTGTGTCCCTTTTTCTCCCCAATTTCGTGATATCCAATTGGTAGTTACAGTCTTGTCCCATCGCTGCAAATCCTGTATGGACTCGGGACAGGCGAAGGTTGAGAGCGTCCTCCGAAACACAACCCAACCGAGCCGCACAGCTTCTTGACACAATGCCCGCTTAACCCGGAAGCCAGCCGCTCCAACGTGTCAGAGGAAACACCGTACACCTGGCGACCATGTCAGCGTGCATGCGCCCAGCCCACCACAGGAGTCGCTAGTGCGCGATGGGACAAGAACATCCCTGCCGGCCAAACCCTCCCCTAACCTGGACGACGCTGGGCCAATTGTGCGCCGCCCCATGGGTCGCCTGGTCGCGACCGGCTGCGACAGAGCCTGGACTCGAACCAGGATCTCTAGTGGCACAGCTAGCACTGCGATGCAGCGCCTTAGACCACTGCATCACTCGGGAGGCCTTAGGCCTTTATGGTAGAGTGGCCACATGGAAGCCACTCCTCAGTAAAAGGCATATGAAAGCCAGCTTGGAGTTTGCCAAAAGGCACCTACAGGACACTCAGACCATGAGAAACAAGATTCTCTGGTCTGATGAAACCAAGATTGAACTCTTTGGCCTGAATGCCAAGCATCACGTCTGGAGGAAACCTGGCACCATCCCTACAGTGAAGCATGGGGGTGGCAGCGTCATGCTGTGGGGATGTTTGTCAGCGGCAGGGACTGGGAGACTAGTCAGGATCGAGGGAAAGATGAACGGAGCAAAGTACAGAGAGATCCTTGATGAAAACCTGCTCCAGAGTGCTCAGGACCTCAGACTGGGGCGACGGTTTACCTTCCAACAGGACAACGACCCTAAGCACACAGCCAAGACAACGCAGGAGTGGCTTCAGGACAGGTCTCTGAATGTCCTTGAGTGGCCCAGCCAGAGCCCAGACTTGAACCCGATCAAAAATCTCTGGAGAGACCTGAAAATAGCTGTGCAGCGACACTCCCCATCCAACCTGACAGAACTTGAGAGGATCTGCAGAGAAGAATGTGAGAAACACCCCAAATACAGGTGTGCCAAGCTTGTAGCGTCATACCCAAGACGACTCATGACTGTAATCGCTGCCAAAGGTGCTTTAACAAAGTACTGAGGAAAGGGTCTGAATACTTCTGTAAATGTGATATTTCAGTTTTATTTTTAATACATTTGATACAATTTCTAAAAACCTGTTTTTGCTTCTAAAAACCAGTTTTTGCTTTGTCGTTATGGGGTATTGTGTGTAGATTGATGAGAGGAAAAAAACTATTTACGGTAATCCATTTTAGAATAATGCTGTAACATAACAAAATGTAGAATTTAGATTTTAGTCATTTAGCAGACGCTCTTATCCAGAGCGACTTACAGTTAGTGAGTGCATACATTTTCATACTGGCCCCCCGTGGGAATCGAACCCACAACCCTGGCATCGCAAACGCCATGCTCTACCAACTGAGCTACAGGGGACTTCAAGTTAAGGGGTCTGCATACTTTCTGAATGATTTGATATGATTTATTTGACTATTTAAAAAAAAAAAAAACACAATACATCCACAAATGTGGATACAATGCATTTAAAAATTATCGGTCATCAATGAACAACAAATGAAATATGGAAAACGAATGGAATTGATCCAGTATGTCTGTCTTTTTGTAATATCTAGATCTTCTTTTTCAATTCCTCCCTCTCCAGATATGGTTTCATCCCCAACGGGGGCAGAGTTTACTATGAGCGTCGCAGTCAGCCCCCCTTCCTGTCTCTCATGGTGGAGAGTTACTATCAGACCACTAAAGACAAAGAGTTACTCAGGTAGTTACTGTCAGACCACTAAAGACAAAGAGTTCCTCAGGTACCGATTCCTTTTTGACCACCATTTTGTTTATGACTAGGGCTTGTCATGAATGGAGTGCTCAAAGGTGCTAACATGGCGTCCATTCTAAAATGTTGGCAGAACTATCTGCTCAGGTCCATGTGGTGAGGATACTCTGGACCCTGTGGATAACAATGGTGTGGTACCTGGATGGTATTAATGATCAAATGCTGTTCTAGGCCCTTCTAACGTTCAATCACAACTGTATCTATAATGTGTAGGACTGCTCTGCCAGCCCTAGAGTGTAATCTCAACCTACTCTACTGTCTAGGACTGCTCTACCAGCCCTAGATGATAATCCCAACCTACTCTACTCTGTAGGACTGCTCTGCCAGCCCTGTATTATAATCTCAACCTACTCTACTGTCTAGGACTGCTCTGCCAGCCCTAGAGTGTAATCTCAACCTACTCTACTCTGTAGGACTGCTCTGCCAGCCCTAGATTATAATCTCAACCTACTCTACTGTCTAGGACTGCTCTGCCAGCCCTAGAGTGTAATTTCAACCTACTCTACTGTCTAGGACTGCTCTACCAGCCCTAGATGATAATCCCAACCTACTCTACTCTGTAGGACTGCTCTGCCAGCCCTAGATGATAATCTCAACCTACTCTACTGTCTAGGACTGCTCTACCAGCCCTAGATGATAATCCCAACCTACTCTACTCTGTAGGACTGCTCTACCAGCCCTAGATGATAATCCCAACCTACTCTACTGTCTAGGACTGCTCTGCCAGCCCTGTATTATAATCTCAACCTACTCTACTGTCTAGGACTGCTCTGCCAGCCCTAGAGTGTAATCTCAACCTACTCTACTCTGTAGGACTGCTCTGCCAGCCCTAGATTATAATCTCAACCTACTCTACTGTCTAGGACTGCTCTGCCAGCCCTAGAGTGTAATTTCAACCTACTCTACTGTCTAGGACTGCTCTACCAGCCCTAGATGATAATCCCAACCTACTCTACTCTGTAGGACTGCTCTGCCAGCCCTAGATTATAATCTCAACCTACTCTACTGTCTAGGACTGCTCTGCCAGCCCTAGATTATAATCCCAACCTACTCTACTGTCTAGGACTGCTCTGCCAGCCCTAGATTATAATCTCAACCTACTCTACTGTCTAGGACTGCTCTGCCAGCCCTATATTATAATCTCAACCTACTCTACTGTCTAGGACTGCTCTGCCAGCCCTAGAGTGTAATCTCAACCTACTCTACTCTGTAGGACTGCTCTGCCAGCCCTAGATTATAATCTCAACCTACTCTACTGTCTAGGACTGCTCTGCCAGCCCTAGAGTGTAATCTCAACCTACTCTACTGTCTAGGACTGCTCTACCAGCCCTAGATGATAATCCCAACCTACTCTACTCTGTAGGACTGCTCTGCCAGCCCTAGATTATAATCTCAACCTACTCTACTGTCTAGGACTGCTCTGCCAGCCCTAGAGTGTAATCTCAACCTACTCTACTCTGTAGGACTGCTCTGCCAGCCCTAGATTATAATCTCAACCTACTCTACTGTCTAGGACTGCTCTGCCAGCCCTAGAGTGTAATCTCAACCTACTCTACTGTCTAGGACTGCTCTACCAGCCCTAGATGATAATCCCAACCTACTCTACTCTGTAGGACTGCTCTGCCAGCCCTAGATTATAATCTCAACCTACTCTACTGTCTAGGACTGCTCTGCCAGCCCTAGATTATAATCTCAACCTACTCTACTGTCTAGGACTGCTCTGCCAGCCCTAGATTATAATCCCAACCTACTCTACTGTGCAGGACTGCTCTGCCAGCCCTAGATTATAATCTCAACCTACTCTACTGTCTAGGACTGCTCTACCAGCCCTAGATTATAATCCCAACCTACTCTACTGTCTAGGACTGCTCTACCAGCCCTAGATTATAATCCCAACCTACTCTACTGTGCAGGACTGCTCTGCCAGCCCTAGATTATCTCAACCTACTCTACTGTCTAGGACTGCTCTGCCAGCCCTAGATTATAATCCCAACCTACTCTACTGTGCAGGACTGCTCTGCCAGCCCTAGATTATAATCTCAACCTACTCTACTGTCTAGGACTGCTCTGCCAGCCCTAGATTATAATCTCAACCTACTCTACTGTCTAGGACTGCTCTGCCAGCCCTGGATTATAATCCCAACCTACTCTACTGTCTATGACTGCTCTACCAGCCCTAGATTATAATCCCAACCTACTCTACTGTCTAGGACTGCTCTGCCAGCCCTAGATTATAATCCCAACCTACTCTACTGTGCAGGACTGCTCTGCCAGCCCTGGATTATAATCCCAACCTACTCTACTGTGCAGGACTGCTCTGCCAGCCCTGGATTATAATCCCAACCTACTCTACTGTGCAGGACTGCTCTGCCAGCCCTAGATTATAATCCCAACCTACTCTACTGTGCAGGACTGCTCTGCCAGCCCTGGATTATAATCCCAACCTACTCTACTGTGCAGGACTGCTCTGCCAGCCCTAGATTATAATCCCAACCTACTCTACTGTGCAGGACTGCTCTGCCAGCCCTGGATTATAATCCCAACCTACTCTACTGTGCAGGACTGCTCTGCCAGCCCTAGATTATAATCCCAACCTACTCTACTGTCTAGGACTGCTCTGCCAGCCCTAGATTATAATCCCAACCTACTCTACTGTGCAGGACTGCTCTGCCAGCCCTGGATTATAATCCCAACCTACTCTACTGTGCAGGACTGCTCTGCCAGCCCTGGATTATAATCCCAACCTACTCTACTGTGCAGGACTGCTCTGCCAGCCCTGGATTATAATCCCAACCTACTCTACTGTGCAGGACTGCTCTGCCAGCCCTGGATTATAATCCCAACCTACTCTACTGTCTAGGACTGCTCTGCCAGCCCTGGATTATAATCCCAACCTACTCTACTGTGCAGGACTGCTCTGCCAGCCCTGGATTATAATCCCAACCTACTCTACTGTCTAGGACTGCTCTGCCAGCCCTAGATTATAATCCCAACCTACTCTACTGTGCAGGACTGCTCTGCCAGCCCTGGATTATAATCCCAACCTACTCTACTGTGCAGGACTGCTCTGCCAGCCCTGGATTATAATCCCAACCTACTCTACTGTCTAGGACTGCTCTGCCAGCCCTAGATTATAATCCCAACCTACTCTACTGTGCAGGACTGCTCTGCCAGCCCTGGATTATAATCCCAACCTACTCTACTGTCTAGGACTGCTCTGCCAGCCCTGGATTATAATCCCAACCTACTCTACTGTCTAGGACTGCTCTGCCAGCCCTGGATTATAATCTCAACCTACTCTACTGTGCAGGACTGCTCTGCCAGCCCTGGATTATAATCCCAACCTACTCTACTGTCTAGGACTGCTCTGCCAGCCCTGGATTATAATCCCAACCTACTCTACTGTCTAGGACTGCTCTGCCAGCCCTGGATTATAATCCCAACCTACTCTACTGTCTAGGACTGCTCTGCCAGCCCTGGATTATAATCCCAACCTACTCTACTGTCTAGGACTGCTCTGCCAGCCCTGGAGCAGGAGTACCTGTTCTGGATGCAGAACCGCTCTGTGGCCGTTGAGGTGAACGGGAGGAAGCATGTTCTCAACCGCTTTGATGTACAGGTGGGCCTGCCCAGGTATGGAACACAACAGAAAATTATCCTCATCCCCTTCAATAAAATACACAACTTTATTTGTCCATCTGTTACAACACAAATTCCAACCCACATACATGTATTTTTGGAGTTGATTTGTGTGTGTGTCTGTATCTGTGTGTGTGTGTGTGTCTGTATCTGTGTGTGTGTCTGTCTGTGTGTCTGTGTGTGTCTGTGTCTGTGTGTGTTTGTGTCTGTGTGTGTGTGTGTGTGTCTGTGTGTGTGTCTGTGTGTGTGTGTTCCCTTTCCTCCAGACCGGAGTCCTACACTGATGATGTAGAGCTGGCTGAAGGTCTGACAGAGGGTAAAAGTTGTTCCCTACTTCATGAACAAACCGCATTCCCATCATGGACACACTATCTATTGGGTTGGTCTAAAGTGGTGTACTTTATAGAATAGGGTGTAGCCCTTTGATTCCCAGCCTTTGCCTGTGTCCCCCTCCCTGTACTCAGATGCTGCAGAGAGGCTGTGGACAGAGCTGAATTCAGGAGCAGAGTCCGGGTGGGACTTCTCGTCTCGCTGGTTTGTGGACGGCCAGGGGAACAACAACGGTTCTCTGAGAGACACCAGCACCAGTCAGTTGCTCCCTACAGACCTCAACGCTCTGCTCTGTCGCAACGAGAGGACCCTGGCTCACTTCTACAGGACACTGGGTGAGGAGAAAGCCTACTTGCCGCTTATCACCTTTGACTAGCTAGTGGCAGGATTTTTTACCACCTTATCTCACTAGATAAACTTCTGGGCCCTAGTTATAACCTCTGGGCCCTAGTTATAACCTCTGGGCCCTAGTTATAACCTCTGGGCCCTAGTTATAACCTCTGGGCCCTAGTTATAACCTCTGGGCCCTAGTTATAACCTCTGGGCCCTAGTTATGACCTCTGGGCCCTAGTTATGACCTCTGGGCCCTAGTTATGAACTCTGGGCCCTAGTTATAACCTCTGGGCCCTAGTTATAACCTCTGGGCCCTAGTTGTAGCCATAGGCTCAGCGTTTTTCCTCGTCAGGTCATGTGGTCCACTAAAACTCCTGTCCCTAGTATAATGTGTTTTGTTGTTCCAGGTGATGAGGCTGCAGCAGTGCAGTATGACCAGGCTGTATCAGCCAGGCTAGAGGCCATAGAGACAGTCCTGTGGGATGAGGAGAGGGGAGTCTGGTTGGACTACAGCCTGGTCACCAACACCTCCTGCCCTGCATTCTACCCCTCTAACCTGGCCCCTATCTGGGCAGCCTGCTACTCCCACCCTTCAATGGGACAGAAGGCACTACACTACCTACAGGTTAGTTAGCCTGCTGGTCCATAGACCTCACTCTGTGTGACAAGGCTCATTGTCCTGTTGAAATACCTTGATTGAAAGAGCATGTACATTGATTTGTCACTGAAAAATACACACACCCATTGAGTTACTGTAGCAATGTGTATTTACAGTAGTTAGTGTTTCCTTCCATCCTTCCATCCCTCCCTCCCTCCCTCCCATCCTTCCCTAGGCTAGTGGTGGTCTTGCGTTCCCTAACGGTGTCCCTACGTCCCTGGTTGAGAGTGGGCAGCAGTGGGACTACCCCAACGCATGGCCCCCTCTGCAACACATGCTCATCCAAGGTAGGACCTACAGTGAGGGGGGAAAAGTATTTGATCCCCTGCTGATTTTGTACGTTTGCCCACTGACAAAGGCATGATCAGTCTATAATCTGAATGGTAGGTTTATTTGAACAGTGAGAGACAGAATAACAACAAAACAATCCAGAAAAACGCATGTCAAAAATGTTATAAATTGATTTGCATTTTAATGAGGGATTACTGGCTCCCAGGTGTCTTTTATACAGGTAGCGAGCTGAGATTAGGAGCACACTTTTAAAGGGAGTACTCCTAATCTCAGCTTGTTACCTGTATAAAAGACACCTGTCCACAGAAGCAATCAATCAATCAGATTCCAAACTCTCCACCATGGCCAAAACCAAAGAGCTCTCCAAGGATGTCAGGGACAAGATTGTAGACCTACACAAGGCTGGAATGGGCTACAAGACCACCGCCAAGCAGCTTGGTGGGATTATTCGCAAATGGAAGAAACACTAAATAACTGTCAATCTCCCTCGGCCTGGGGCTCCATGCAAGATCTCACCTCGTGGAGTTGCAATGATCAGGAGAACGGTGAGGAATCAGCCCAGAACTACACGGGAGGATCTTGTCAATGATCTCAAGGCAGCTGGGACCATAGTCACCAAGAAAACAATTGGTAACACACTACGCCGCGAAGGACTGAAATCCTGCAGCGCCCGCAAGGTCCCCCTGCTCAAGAAAGCACATATACAGGGCCGTCTGAAGTTTGCCAATGAACATCTGAATGATTCAGAGGAGAACTGGGTGAAAGTGTTGTGGTCAGATAAGACCAAAATGGAGCTCTTTGGCATCAACTCAACTCGCCGTGTTTGGAGGAGGAGGAATGCTGCCTATGACCCCAAGAACACCATCCCCACCGTCAAACATGGAGGTGGAAACATTATGCTAAGGGGACAGGACAACTTCACCGCATCAAAGGGACGATGGACGGGGCCATGTACCGTCAAATCTTGGGTGAGAACCTCCTTCCCTCAGCCAGGGCATTGAAAATGGGTTGTGGATGGGTATTCCAGCATGACAATGACCCAAAACACACGGCCAAGGCAACAAAGGAGTGGCTCAAGAAGAAGCACATTAAGGTCCTGGAGTGGCCTAGCCAGTCTCCAGACCTTAATCCCATAGAAAATCTGTGGAGGGAGCTGAAGGTTCGAGTTGCCAAACGTCAGCCTCGAAACCTTAATGACTTGGAGAAGATCTGCAAAGAGGAGTGGGACAAAATCCCTCCTGAGATGTGTGCAAACCTGGTGGCCAACTACAAGAAACATCTGACCTCTGTGATTGCCAACAAGGGTTTTGCCACCAAGTACTAAGTCATGTTTTGCAGAGGGGTCAAATACTTATTTCCCTCATTAAAATGCAATTCAATTTATAACATTTTTGACATGTGTTTTTCTGGATTTTTTTGTTGTTATTCTGTCTCTCACTGTTCAAATAAACCTACCATTAAAATTATAGACTGATCATGTCTTTGTCAGTGGGCAAACGTACAAAATCAGCAGGGGATCAAATACTTTTCCCCTCACTGTAGTTAGCCCTGATGTGGCTTGCATGTTGAATCTGCATCCCAAATGACACCCTATTCCCTATTCCCTATATAGTGCATCAGGCCTGAATAATCTAACTCTGTTATCTTCCAATCAGGCCTGTCCAGTCTGCCCTCACAGGAAGCTAGAGAGCTGGGGTTTGAATTGGCTCAGAGCTGGATCAGAACCAACTGGCTGGCCTACGTCAAGTATGAAGCCATGTTTGAGAAGGTGATTAAGAAGAGGTGTGATCACAATGAGGTGTAGGGTGACGTTGCCCGTAGACAACGGTTGGCAATAGTCGGCCTGCGGTCCAAAACCGGCCCGCTAGTGATAATTGTTTTGCCCCCCCCAAAAAAGTTTTTGGTGGCTAAATCAAGTTTCCTTCACCTGCCCTAGACGTTGTTCATGGGTCAGTGTAGCATTTCCCCCACTGATGGTTAAGGTTGGGATTGGGGAGGGAAAGCTGAACCTAGGGGAACGTCACCCTGGAGCCCACAACGACAAAATATCCTCAACACGTGCCTTAATAAAAGCTTGACATATCTGGGGTTTGTTTCTCTCTCTCTGTCAGTATGATGTGAACGGAGATGGGAAACCGGGCGGCGGAGGAGAATATGACGTTCAGGTACACTATGATATCTGATCTGATCGTTCAGGTACACTATGATATCTGATCTGATCGTTCAGGTACACTATGATATCTGATCTGATCGTTCAGGTACACTATGATATCTGATCTGATCGTTCAGGTACACTATGATATCTGATCTGATCGTTCAGGTACACTATGATATCTGATCTGATCTTGAAAGTTGCTCTGGATAAGAGCGTCTGCTAAATGACTCAAATGGCAAAATGGAAATATTCATCGATCTTATCTTGATCTCCATCTAATCTTTTTTTTTTGTTGAGTTATTTCAAACTCATCTTCTTTAGTTGATTCTGTGTCTGTCTCTTTGTGTGTGTGTTGTTGTAGTTGGGATTTGGCTGGACCAATGGTGTGGCTCTCCAGCTCCTGGACCAGTATGGGGACCGGCTCACCTCCGGTAGCAGCGGAGACAGCTGCACCCTGTGTTTCAGCGCCACTGTGGCCCTGCTCTGCTCAGTCCAAACTCTGTTCCTATCAAATGCAATGGGTGGAGGGTGGAGTTGCCCCTAGACACTGATCCTGGGCCAGTTTAGCATTTTCCCCACTAATGGTGAAGGTTAGGATTGGGGCAGAGGAAGCTGATCCTGGACCTGTAACTAGGGGAAACTTCACTTCGGAGCTTTTTAAAATGTTAATGCTTAAAAGGAGGATGACGGTTAAACTTTACAGAGTCTGAAAATGAAGATAATTTAAACTGTCTCTGTTTCCCCTGTTAACTATCATAGCGAGGGTGTGTGATTATAACGGTAGCTGATATCGAACTGACGTTAAAAACAAGAATGATCTTAATCTAAGGATAGGGCTTTTCGCTGTAGCTGAACTCCCAGTGTGTCAGGAAGTGTTTCCATACCAACTGCATGTTAGATGTAGAACTACTCATGAGAGAGAGAGCGTGTCCGAATGGCACCCCATTTCCTTATATAGTGCACTACTTTAGACCACTTCAAATGGATTAGGGAGCCATTTGAGACGTAGACAGAGAATGAGATTTGCAGTGAAGGTCATTTTAAGATATTCCGACCAGATCTGTGTTGTTGTGTGTGACTCATGGCTAAATTAACCAACTGTCTCCTATTCTGGCCTGTTTGAAGGTCAAATTGGGGGAAAAAACTGGGGAATGATATGACTGTGTAATCCCGCTGAGCATTTGGCAAAAAGACAGTAAATGACCTGCCGTTTAATGCAGTCACTATGGACAGTGTTGTTCATAGTTTTGAGTTGAATGAATATGGACAATGTATGAACAGCTCTTGTTTATAATAAAAGGTATTTCTGTTTGTTCAAATGACTGAATTTGTCACTGTCAGTCTTTGCCAGTGTTTGTCTGGAGTAAATGTTGTTAAATGTTTGACAAATGTTTAAAAAGAAGTAAGACAATGCACTACTCTTGAAACTGCAGTACGTTTACCCTAGTTGGCTGTCTGCAGACTTTCTGCTCTCGTCTTCTATCTCAATATCAAATTAAACAGATTAAATATATTTGCAAATGGTCATCAGATGAGAGGTTAGGGCGAATCTGCTCCTCAAAGAGAAATACCACTGAGCCTACCCTGGAGATATGGGGACCCAGGGGAGGTCTTATGTTAGGATATTAAAACGATCAGAATATCCACAAGCAAGGTTCTGGGTAGAAAACTTGTTTCATGAAACTTTTCTTTTGTAACTCGATGTCAGTTGGAGTAGAAGTTGTTAAATACAAAACCAAATTGAAGTGAAATATTTTTTCGTTTGTTTTTTGTTTAATTTCATCAGTTAAGATTGTGTTTTAAACCAGGGTTCTGTGTTGTGGAGATGGTTCAAATCAGAAATGACACCTTTGTTTTTGTTCGAAAATAAAGCTCACTGAAATTCCTGTTATTGTTCTTTTTATTTTCTTAAAGGAAACTTTGGGATTTATTTTCTTAAAGGGATACTTTGGGATTTTGGCTATGAGGCACTTTATCTACTTCCCACGTTTTGTTGTGGAAATACTTCTCAAAGATATCTCTGACACTGGAGCTTGTGAGTTCAAATATATTTTATTACAAAGTAACAAGCCGAGCTGGTCCGCGGAGCAACTGCCAGTCCCAGACTTGGAGCTCTCTTTTTAAAATCAAATCAAATTGTATTTGCCACATGCGCCGAATACAACGGGTGTACACATTACTGTGAAATGCTTACTTACAGCCCTTAACCAACAATGCATTTATTTTTTATAAAAAAGTAAAATAAAACAACAACAAAAAAGTGTTGAGAAAAAAAGAGCAGAAGTAAAATAAAATAACAGTAGGGAGGCTATGTACAGGGGGGTACCGGTGCAGAGTCGATGTGCGGGGGCACCGGCTAGTTGAGGTAGTTGAGGTAATATGTACATGTGGGTAGAGTTAAAGTGACAATGCATAAATAATTAACAGAGTAGCAGCAGTGTAAAAATATGGGGTGGGTGCAGTGCAAATAGTCTGGGTAGCCATGATTAGCTGTTCAGGAGTCTTATGGCTTGGGGGTAGAAGCTGTTGAGAAGCCTTTTGGACCTAGACTTGGCGCTCCGGTACCGCTTGCCGTGCGGTAGCAGAGAGAACAGTCTATGACATTGGTGATGTGGACACCAAGGAACTTGAAGCTCTCAACCTGTTCCACTACAGCCCCGTCGATGAACAGAGAGTACAGGAGGGGACTGAGCAAACACCCCTGAGGGGCCCCCGTGTTGAGGATCAGCATGGCAGATGTGTTGTTGCCTACCCTTACCACCTGGGGGCGGCCCGTCAGGAAGTCTTAGATCCAGTTGCAGAGGGAGGTGTTTAGTCCCAGGGTCCTTAGCTTAGTGATGAGCTTTGAGGGCACTATGGTGTTGAATGCTGAGCTGTAGTCAATGAATAACATTCTCACGAAGGTGTTCCTTTTGTCCAGGTGGGAAAGGGCCGTGTGGAGTGCAATAGAGATTGCGTCACCTGTGGATCTGTTGGGGCGGTATGCAAATTGGAGTGGGTTTAGGGTTTCTGGGATAATGGTTTTGATGTGAGCCATGACCAGCCTTTCAAAGCCCTTCATGGCTACAGACGTGAGTGCTACGGGTCAGTAGTCATTTAGGCAGGTTACCTTGGCATTCTTGGGCACAGGGACTATGGTGGTCTGCTTGAAACATGTAGGTATTACAGAGTCGGTCAGGGACAGTTTCAAAATGTCAGTGAAGACACTTGCCAATTGGTCAGCGCATGCTCTGAGTACACGTCCTGGTAATCAGTCTGAATCTTGACCTGTTTAAAGGTCTTACTCACATTAGCTACGGAGAGTGTGATCACACAGTCGTCCGGAACAGCTGGTGCTCTCATGCATGCTTCAGTGTTGCTTGCCTAGAAGCACACATAGAAGTCATTTAGCTTGTCTGGTAGGCTTGTGTCACTGGGCAGCTTGTGGCCGGGCTTCCCTTTGTAGTCCGTAATAGTTTGCAAGCCTTGCCACAACCGAGGAGCGTCAGAGCCGGTGTAGTAGGATTCAATCTTAGTCCTGTATTGACGCTTTGCCTGTTTGATGGTTCGTTGGAGGGCGTAGCGGGATTTCTTATAAGTGTCCGGGTTAGAGTCCCGCTCCTTGAAAGCGGATGTTCTACCCTTTAGCTCAGTGCAGATGTTGCCTGTAATCCATTACTTATGGTTGGGGTTTGTACGTACGGTTACTGTGGGGATGACGTCATCGATGCACTTATTGATGAAGCCGGTGTCTGAGGTGGTGTACTCCTCAATGCCATCGGATGAATCCCGGAACATATTCCAGTCTGTGCTAGCAAAACAGTCCTGTAGCTTAGCATCTGCGTCATCTGACCACTTCCATATTGAGCACGTCAATGGTACTTCCTGCTTTAATTTTTGCTTGTAAGCTGGAATCAGGAGGATAGAGTTATGGTCAGATTTGCCAAATGGAGGGTGAGGGAGAGCTTTGTATGCGTCTCTGTGTGTGGAGTAAAGGTGGTCTAGAGTTTTTTTCCTCTGGTTGCACATGTGACATGCTGGTAGAAATGAGGTAAAACGGATTTAAGTTTTCCTGCATTAAAGAACCTGGCCACTAGGAGCACCGCCTCTGGATGAGCGTTTTCTTATGGCCTTACACAGCTCGTTGAGCGCGGTCTTAATGCCAGCATCGGTTTGTGGTGGTAAATAGACAGCTACGAAAAATATAGATGAAAACTCTCTTGGTAAATAGTGTGGTCTACATCTTATTATGAGATACTCTACCTTAGGCGAGCAAAACTTCAAGACTTCTTTAATATTAGATTTCGTACACCAGCTGTCATTGACAAATAGACAGAGACCACCACCTCTCGTTTTACCGCAGGTAGCTGTTCTGTCTTGCCGATGCACAGAATACCCAGCCAACTGTATATTATCCATGTCGTGGTTCAGCCACGACTCGGTGAAACATAAGACACAAACATTTTAAAAGTCCCGTTGGTAGGATAGTCCCGAACAGAGCTCATCCAGTTTATTCTCCAGTGATTGCGGGTCAATTCCCACGAGGCACCCAGATCTAAGTCCCCTGTATCAGCGTCTCCTCTTCATGCAAACAACAGGGATTTGGGCCTGGTCCGGTAGCAGCAAGTTACAAACAACGTGAAAAAAACACACAAAATAGCACAATTGGTCAGGAGCCTGTAAAACGGCAGGCATCCCCTCTGGCATCATTCTCTTCGCTCTGCTCTGCTCCATCCCACTATACTCTGCTCTGCTCCATCCCACTATACTTTGCTCTGCTCCATCCCACTATACTCTACTCTGCTCCATCCCACTGTACTATACTCTGCTCTGCTCCATCCCACTATACTCTGCTCTGCTCCACCCCACTATACTATACTCTACTCTGCTCCATCCCACTATACTATACTATACTCTGCTCCATCCCACTATACTCTGCTCTGCTCCATCCCACTATACTCTACTCTACTCTGCTCCATCCCACTATACTCTGCTCTGCTCCATCCCACTGTACTATACTCTGCTCCATCCCACTATACTCTACTCTGCTCCATCCCACTGTACTATACTCTGCTCCATCCCACTATACTCTACTCTGCTCCATCCCACTATACTATACTCTGCTCCATCCCACTATACTCTACTCTGCTCCATCCCACTATACTCTGCTCTGCTCCATCCCACTATACTATATTCTGCTCCATCACACTATACTCTACTCTGCTCCATCCCACTGTACAATACTATAATCTGCTCCATCCCACTATACTCTACTCTGCTCCATCCCACTGTACTATACTATACTCTGCTCCATCCCACTATACTCTGCTCCATCCCACTATACTCTACTCTATCCCACTATACTCTGCTCTGCTCCATCCCACTATACTCTGCTCTGCTCCACAATACTATACTATACTCTGCTCCATCCCACTGTACTATACTATACTCTGCTCCATCCCACTATACTATACTCTACTCTGCTCCATCCCACTATAATCTACTCTGCTCCATCCCACTATACTCTACTCTGCTCCATCCCACTATACTCTACTCTGCTCCATCCCACTATACTCTG